AGAAGATAGTGTTCATTCCTTAGCGGTTTTTCCCTCCTGAGCATCTGGACTTACAAATCCCCTTAGATCATAACAGAGCAGATGCCCAGCCAGCGCGGGCTCCTCTCTTCTCCAGCACTGCTTTCCGGTTTGACTGCTTCCCTTTGTATCTTAGCTTTTAACCCATGTACAGGAAGCAGCAAAATGCCACGAGGAGAACATGGCTTTAGAGGGAGAGTGGCCTGAGAAGGACCCCGGCTGTGTGAGCGTGTTTGTGTCTTGGGTCCTCAGTTTGCTCCTCTGCCAAAGGGGATAGTAAAGCTTAGCTGGCAGCATGACCGTGAGGATTAAATGAACTGATGGATATAAAGCTTGTAGTCCCTGTTCCCAGCCATCAGAGGTGATGAATAAATGACAGCTATGGCATTATTACGTAGCAGCACCTCAGTGCCATTGCAATTGGGTTAAGACTGAGATGGAGCTCTTGGTTTCTTCACAGATATAATTCAGTCGAGGTCAGTATCCGATTTTGGACTGTTTACCCTGTGAGGCATCCTGCTGGGCACTTGGCACAGATAGAAATTAAACACTGTCTCTGTTCTCACTGAGTTCTTCTTGCTCATTCTCAATTAATCTTGTCTTGTTTCAGCTTCCACATGCCTCCCCGTCATTCTGAATTGTTCTGGGTACTCCTTTGAAGGTTAGTTTGACGTTCAAGCCTTTGGCCTTTGAGGACCACTCACCTTCAGAGTCCCACCTCCCTCCCTCTCTAACACACGCTCTCTGTCCTCCCAGTTCACTGAGGAAACAGCATGGTAGCCTGGTTCCAGTGCACTCCATGGCGATGCCTTGGACACATTGCTCACCATCTCAGAGTCCCTCCTTCCTCTTCTGTAGGGGAGACTGTAAAGCCATCTCTCAGTGTTGGATGAGGATTCATGCCTGCAAATCCATGTCCCAAGATCAGATGGACCCACAAAGACCAGACTGCAGGAAACAGAAGAGACATACTTGAGTCTGCATCTGCCACATACCAGCAGGACCCCAAGCTGCCTTGACCTCAGGGAGGCCCCGGGTGAACATCGATCTGTGCCCTTTGTGGTGTCATTTCTGCAGCCTGCAGAAGAGGAGCCAAACAGCTCTTTTCTGTTCCTCTTCCCTCTCCAGGCCCCTTACAATAGTGGATGATGGTGAACAGGGGATGATGATAATGGCTAATTCTTGTTGGGTATTTCTTGTGTGTGTGTATTTGTGTAAATATACGTATTTCAGTTAACAATTATTATCTCAAAACTGGGGTTCAGAGAGGTTACATAGCACCCTTGAGCATGTGGAGGACAGGGAAGGTGGCTGAAATGATGGTGAGGGCCCCTCCCAAGTGTAACTGCAGACTCTTCTGATGGTTGAGTAACTAGTATGCCAGGGAAATAATCAATTACCTGTCTCCTCAGCAACACCCGATGTTTGGCTTAGGTGTTGTTGACGCGTTTTGCTTATCTTCCTGTGGGTGAAGAAACAGGTCTCGGAAAATTTAATCCAGCTGGCAGTGCTATGCCCAGAATTCAATTAAGTCCATGATTTCCAATTAATGGGCCCTCACGCCAAGATTGAGGTCATAACATTAATCTTGCTTTTATTTTAGGATTTCCACTGTCATGATTTACAGTGAAGCCCAGCCAGTCTTGTCAGGATTATTGGATCATAATTAAGCCAGAAAGATAGCAGAGCAGCTAGTTAACATGGGAGCCAGGGAGGGACCCCCTTTCTTTGCTTAGTAAGCCCACCCCAGGCAGCATGGGCCCACATGTGAGGATTTCCATCCAAGGACCATTTCCTGCATGTCTGATCTCTGTGCAGTTCAAATCCCCATACGATAAAATCTCTAGACAAGGAAAGGATTTCAGAGTCCCAGTTGGTGACCCATTGTGAGCAATGTTCTAGTTAATTCAGTGCCACCACATACACCTCCACTTGAAGTTACCGTTTACTAAGTTGTCATTGTAACAGATAGTTTGCTTTCACAGATAGTGGATTTAATCTTTGTGATGATTCCATGAGGAAGGTATGGCAGGCTTTCTCGCTGCATAAAGGTTATACAGATGGTAAGTGGCCTTCCCACTGAATTGATGGCATTTCCGAGATGCAGACCACTCCTAAGTGCCTGCTTCTTTCTCTTTCTCATGGTTGTTGTCCAGGAGGAGCTCCTTCACTTTCCCTATGGGAATAAGAAGATAGGATGCATAGGCAAATACTGTTTATGATAGCCTTCTAGGTGACAGATGCTTATCTGTCATTATCTCACTTAAACCGCATCTCATACATTGAAGGAAGATATTATCTGCCCCCATCCTACACTCGAGGAAACTGAGGCTTAGAGAGATGAATTAGCCTGCCCACTGTTACACGGGTAGTAAGGAAGGAGTGTCAGTGCAGTCAATCCGGGTCTGCTTGTTTGCAAAGCCTAGGTGCTTTCAGTCACATCGTGCTGGTTCCAAATGTTCTTTTCTTTTCCTGGTTCTCTGGGAGTGCGTGTTATTGAGGTGAGACTCTTAGGGACAAGTCACACATGGAGGATCATTTTTTGAGTGGAGGGTGTCTGAAGAGAGGCTAGGAACCAACCTCCTACCCAGCAGGAAAGAGTGCGCCCTTGAGATTCAGCCATGTCTGCTGTGCGCCCGGTCCACACCTGGATGTTCTCCCAAGTCTGGCCAAGCTCCGAAGTCAACCGCTGTCACTGACTTGACTGAGTTTCCTCTGTGTTTGGTTTTCCCACGAGAGAGGGTAGTGGTCAGACCTTTATGAGAATGTCTCCATAAGCCAATTGCCTGCAGGAAGCTTTGTCCTTGAGACCAGGGCAATTGAGGAGGCACAGGTTCTCTTCGCACTTAGGTAGCAGATTTTCCTCCAAATGCCTGCTGTGGGTTTTGTTGGTGCTGGTTGGTTTTTTGCTTTTTCTTCGTCCCAGGATTCACCTTCAGAGTGTTTCTGCCTTCCCTGTTCGGTTAGCTCTTAGACATGTGTCTGCTCTGAGTTTGCTTAGCCTCGCTGAGCGTTTTATGCTTGGCACGGCTTACTACTGAGACTGCCTCTCCGAGGTTCCTACGAGTGCGTTTATCTGATAATTAGAGGCTGAAAGTACTGCCTTGGAATTTCTTCAGGTGCCCTCGTATGGAAGTCTGGCTTTTGAAAATGCGCCCTAAAGGGTGTGCTATCTCTGGGGAAGTCCACTTGTCGGAGGCAATATTAATCTGCTCTGTGAACAGCTTCTTGGAAATCTGTTGACAACCATTTTTTTTTTGTCATTTGTTATGCCAGTGTGAGGACCAAATCCTGCAAGCAGTTATGCAGAGAGCAAGTACAAGTTCTTACTCTTTGGCTTGACCTTCAGGCCTTCTGGGATCTGAAGTCCGCTCATCTTCCCAGCCTGCCTCCCTCCCTCTCTAACACAGCATTCTCCTCCTGCCTCATCTGGTTGGTGGAAACTGTAAGACCATCTCAGTGCTCTTAGCATGGTCCCTGGTACAGTTACAGCTGGTGCTTGGTTGTGATCCTTTTCCTTTTTCTGTATGTCCCTGATGTGGTAGTCTCTTGGCCATTGCTTTCTTTTCTCCCCCAGCCTGAGATGCTCTTCAGCCCATTTCTATCCAAATTGCAATTCAAACACCACCTCTCCCATAAATCCTTCCTCTTTCCTACTTCTAGCAACCTGCATCGCTCTCCATAAGCTGGAAATAACCACCTCTGAGCTCCTGTTCACTTTACATGCATGTATATGCAATAATACTTGGTGAGTGTGAGCAAGAGAAAAGCAGTTAGCAATTATGGTGCAGCTCTAGGTGAGATGTTAGAGGAAAACTACTACTGACCTGGAAAGCTGCTTTTCAGTGTCAAGTTGAAAGAATGGCAGATCCAAGCTGTACATAGTATGATCTTATTTCTGTGTACATGTGCACAGAACACACAATACATGTGTGTGCATGCATGCAAAAATGCAGAACTAAAAAGGCAAGGATATACAGTTCTCCAAAATGTTAACTGTGGTTACCCTTGCTTGTTTTTTTTCTTGTTTTATTTTCTTCTCGGCTTTAATTCCATTGCCTTTAGTTTTCATGGACCTCGGGTGCAGAGAAGCGAGTTAATCCTATTGCGTGTGGTCTTTACATTGCACAAGGCCCCTCTCTGGTTTTATTCTAGGTTTTCTTTTTTTTTTTTTTCCCTTCATCCCCAGTCCCATCCTCTTTTCTCAGCCATTTTCTTTCTTTCCAATGCTTTTGACATATGGCTTTAGATGTGCCCAAATTTTCCATATGGAATAGGAATGACCTATGTTTGTTATGTTATTACATAACAAAATATGTATTATATAATGTTATATAACAAAATATGATATAATGAAACATAGCATATATACCATATGTACGTACATAATATACATGTTTAAATCTGAAGGAAAACCTTTTTTTAAAGTAGAGACCAGAATTCACATCTCTGCTTTGAATCTCTTTTCCTTCCTCTCCCCTCCACCTCACAACCATGCACACACACACACACACACACACACACACACACACACATATGAATGCAGATCTCTCGATCAGCTGTACTCCCAGCTCTAGAATCCCAGGATTCTTTCCTGCATGTTGGTTGGTCCCTCCCTTGGGCTCTGTGATATGTGGTTCTGTATGGAGTTTGCACTCTGTCTTGTCCCAAGGAATTGAGCCTGGCTCTTACTTCTCAACACAGGACACAGCTTTGCAGAGAATGGCCCCGGCAAGGCAGACAGCCCTGTGGGACCAAGGATGGTATTTTGTGGTGATTCATATGTCTGTCTTCTCCCAGTCTGGGCTCTGTTCAATGGTATGGCAAGAGGGACACAGGCTCTGGAGTTAAAGGTGTATGTGTGTATACCCACACATATATATGTCAAAACTTATCAAATGTTGCATTTTAAATACGTGCAGTTTATTGTATGTCAATTTTATATATGTTGGTAGAGCTGTTTTTTTTTTAAAAAGTTAATGATAGCAATGATTGGGGAAAATAATTTTAATTTCCTGGTGTATCTGCCTGAGACGTGGGAATATGTTGCTAACGCCCCATTGAGTATTGAAACACTATGAGTCTGGGTTGCTTCCTCTCACGGTTTGAGCAGGACCCCCATCTCTGTGGCTGTATGAATCTGGCTGTGCCTTAGGGAGTGAGAAGAGTGTGGGTCTCGGCATCACACAGACATTTGTGTATCCTAGCCAAGTAACTCTGTGTGAACGAATCTCCTCTTTGAGACACAATTGCCTCATCTGAAAAGTAAGAGGAAAGCTATCTTTCGGTTTTATTGTGTGGGATTCTGTGTGTTCCTAGCATACTGCTTAGCTTGTGGTGAGGCTCCTTTGGCGTATGTGTAGCATAGGTGTGTGTTGTGTGTAGTATACAATATGTATACATTGACCTGCATCCTGTAAACGACAAGCAATATCTGTCCACAGTAGTTGCTGCTCCTCTGGAGAGCAATGACTGGATCTTTCTCTAAGAGGTCTGCTTGCAGTGGCAGCTCCAGAATTTCTGTCTAGGAGCAGCTCAGAGAAGACAGTCTTCTTGGCAGGAAAAGGAGTTGAGAAACTCTTCTTGGGGCTGCATTTGCCTGGCAAAGCCAGCGCTTTCCTGAGATGCTGTGCGTGCGAGGGCTATTTGGGAGCGCTGGTAGAGTTCTCCCAGTCACCCTTTGAGGCCTCTCTTGCCTCCCCTCCACATTAGATGGAACTGAAATGGTGAAAAGAAGATTTTTGATTGGTTTTTTCTTTGCAGTATTCTTTGAGGAGGCCATCGGTCCTTGCTATCTCTGTCCTTTATCATGCACAGAGTCAGATAACAGTGAGGACGTTTTCTCTCTTCCAGGCAACAAGGCTGGTCATTAGAGGGAAATGTCATAGTCTCTTTAATCCAATTTAGGCCCTGACCTTTTGGTTAGAGAAGGGAGGAAAAATTTTGATGATCCCTCGCTTCCTGGTGTTGAGGGGCCATGTGGTGGGCAGAACCTTTTGAATTTCCTTCAGAGTTCCATTGGGGGTTCTCATCTCGCTAAATAGATTCCATCATTATTATTTCATGACGATGAACTTCTTTATTTGGCCCAAGTGTTGGAGAGTAAAGATCTCTTACATAGATCTGTTTCCCCGGCATACTGTAAGTACTTAAAATATTTGTTGAATCAAATTAAGCAATATTGATATATTGTTTTATACAAGAGTTTACTGGGTAGAATTTAGATTGGCAACTATGGCCTGATTCCAATGACCCATGAAGGAATAGAATGTGTTAGATCTGTTCAGCTGGAATTTCCCCAGCACTCAGAACCCGTTAGTAGCAGCTGTGCCTTTTGCCTTTAAGATACAGAGTCAGTTTTGGTGTCAATGTGGTCTTCACTTTGATGGCATTTCTTATTCTTTCCACTCTTATTCTTTTTTCTTTTACATCTTCGATCCTTTGGGAGAGAGGAGCTAGTGGTTTACTTAATTAGCTCCTCTTATCTGTCTGAAGATAAAAATTTCTCCCTGGTCTTCTCATCAAGTATTAGTCTTGTCGACGATAAAGTTCTTGTTGATTAGTCTTGTGTATGATAAAGTTCTTGTTGGATTTCATGAAATCCCCATCTTAGGCAAGCATACTCAGTGGGTGGTGGAAGATACAGTGCTGCAATCAGAAATTCAGAGAAAGGTGAGGAGACAGTGAAAGCATCTGGTGCCTACCGTTAGGCAAAGCCCAGGTCTCTGTCAAGGTTGATCTGTTTGATCTTCCTGGCCATCCTTGCCATCTTCTCTCTGACTCTTGCATTCTGCAGCAGCCCAGTTTTACATACATTTATTGAGTGCTTTCTCTGTGCCAGGTGCTGTGCTAAGATTTTAGGGGGCTGTGAAGAATTACGAAACGTAGTCCCTGTTATTGAAGACCCAGACTCTCTGGGGTTGAGGTGGGAGCAGGGGCAGACCCATTCACAAATAATTCTAATACAAGTCAGACTGCTCTGAATCCTGGGATGGATGTGCAAAGTGAGATGAGAGACAAGGCCCCTCATGAAAGAAGGCAGGATGGGGAGGTGGAGAAGAGCAGAGTCTTTGGATCCAGCCAAACCTTGGTCCAATCTCATTCTGCCATGACTGTTACTGATCTTCACCAAAGCCTCAGCTTCCGCAGTGGACTGCGACCTGACACTGGGCTTCGTGCGAGGGTCTAATGCCGGACTTGATGGAAACTGCTCAGCAGAGGGCCTTGCCTAAAGTACACGTTTAGTAGATGGCCTTTTACAATGATGATAGTGTCAGAGAACCTCAGGACTGGATGGGACTGAGGGGATCATCTAATTCATTCCCCTGTTTTATGCTCTTTGACGCCCTGAGTCTGTGCTTCTCCTGTGGCCACATAGCTCAGGAAGCTGGGGCTGCGCCTCTCATCAAAATCCAGAGGAGTGGGCACGAAAATACTTCCATACTAATTTGAGGGTATCAGGAGTGATAATAAAATATTTAAGAACTGGCATGATAATACAATTTTATATATATGTATTATAAATATATATAATGTAAAGTATAGCCCCCCTTTATTCTCGAAACAAATATGCACATGCACATATAACTGTTTACCAGGTGATACTATTTATAGCACAGATTATTTATCATTCTAATTTCCATTTTTTTGGTTAATTTGGACTTCTCTGGAGTGTCCTTGTCATTAGCTAAATGATTCCTATTTCTGAGATGTAGGCAATGGCATCGGATCTTTCCAGCAACTTCCCCATTAAAGTGACTGTCATAAGGGCCCTGGCACCTTATCCCAGCTGGAGAAGGGCCGAGCTTGCTGTTGACTTGTCAGGGCTGTGATGCACTTGGATGCCAGGGCTTCCTACGTGGTTCGAATCCTCAAAGCCTGCATCACTTGGCAGGTCTGGCACCACCTGCTCTGCGGCCTGTGCCTGCCAGTGCTGACCTCCTCTGGAGCCATTGGTGGATGCTGTCCACACCCAGGCCTCTGCCCCTGTGGTCTGTTGAGCAGCTGCCAGACCTGTCCATATCCAGGGCCACTGCTGTGCAATGGCATCCAGTGACTTGTAGTTTTAATAGCTCATACTAAGTGCCAAATAGTAGTAAAGTATTTCAGTATTTCAAAAACCAGTACCACTGAATCTGTGTGAACCTGAATATTAGTTGTGCAAATAGCACATACCATACAAGGCATCAGATGGGAAGGGGAACCCCAGAGCTATAAACAGGTTCACCTCTGTTAAACATTTATGATTCCGAACTATCAGAAGTGATGGGTTCATATGTGCCGCACAGGAAGCTCCAGGAAGTGAGCCTGTTCTTGTTGCACACATCTCCAGTCTGTCTTTGTCAGCCCCGAAACTGAACACACCGCCCATTTTTGCTGAGGCTGCCTGGTTTTGCTGCAGACAGCATTTTTTGTGGCTTTCTTCTTTCCATTCCCCAGAGCCACCTGGTAGCTATCATTTATTAGTATGCAAAGGGTTTACAGAACTGTGTCTTATATAATCCTCACCACAATCCTATGTGATATTCTATTAATACATCCCTTTTACAGAGAAAGAAATCGAGACTTTGATCAGTTACTTTGCTTCTCTAGGCTGTATCTCCAGCTAGTAGCAGGGGATGAATCCAGACTGATTCTGGCTGACTTCAAAGCCCAGATTTTTGACTGTGGTGGTTTTGTACCATTTCTAACCTCTCGATTGGCTTAGAGAGGGTCTACTCTTTTGTTTCGTTTTATTTTTGCCTGTGAAATTGTTATTTCTAATTGGATTCTTGGGCATTTTGTGGTAGGTAATCCAATGACTCATTTATATGGGAGCTGAATTTCTAAGAATTACAATAAAAATTCCTAAGTTTTAGAGAAAAACCTCATGACTTAAAAATCACATTGACATATATGGTCTCATTTGATCCTTTTGACACCATGAAACCTATAGGGAAGTTTTTGTTCTCCATTAGTTCCGATTTATAGAGGGAGAGGAGCCCTCAGAGGAGGAAAACATCATTCTTCAGCTCACACAGTTTTTAAGTGGAAAAATAAAGTCTCCAATCTGAGACCTTTCCTTGAAGTCCATCCTCCTCTCTGTCAGCTTCCCTGAGGTGGGATGAAGGGGGAAGGAGGGTTAGGCAGTCTTTGATTCTGGAAGCTGAGATAGTGGGCTTTTCCATGACCCATCCAGTTGTTATCCCCGTGTGAACCATTTCTCTAATTGGGGGGAAGCCAAGAGCTGGAAAATCTGTTACAAACAAGGATGACAAGGCCTCTGTGGCTAAGACACTGGTTACTTTCTCCTTGCCAAGTGTCGTAGAGAAGGAATATCGTGTTCCTAGAACAGGGGCTAGTGGTATATCTCATCAGGGTCCCTTTAACTTGGAGGATTTCTATCCTGCAGTTGTCAACTTTGTAGAAGCCAACTTTGTAGCATAGTGACACTTAAGTAACCACAGAGGAATATGCCCCACTGATGAAAAGGAACATGGACGTGAACAGATCATAAAGCCAGAATTGGGATTATCAAACAGGCTGGTCCTGAAGTTATGGAATCAGAAGTTGCAGTTACTAGACCTGAAGGACAAAGACTTTCCAGAAATTGGAGAGGTGATGCTGTGTGCACCAGAGGACCCGCTGAGGAAGGCTGATGTCCCAAGAATCTTGATTGTTGCCAAGAGTCCTTTGCCATCTCTTTCCCCTCCTTAATGTACTGGATTATCTTGAGTATTTACACCAGAGCTGAGACAGTTACTACCACAATGAAGCAGAGTCTCAGGTCTTAGAAAGAGTCAAGTACTGAAGGATGTTCCTGGTAGGCTCCTAGCCTGCTTGGAGTGGAAGATCCACACAGGGCTACTTGTGGACTCAGGGCAGCATCTGCCTGTGTTTCACAGGCCAGGCTGGAACCTTGGTGTGATCATGAACTGGGAGGAATTATGTGCAGAGGAAGCATTGAGGAAGGACATATTGAACTTCAATAGCACAGCACTTGCCTGTTGTCTCGTCATTCTCCCACCTAGATATAATTGCTGTAGCTGTTTTGAAAATGTGGCAGCTAAAAGCCTGGTCTCAGGAGCAGCCTGCCTGCGTTCAAATCCTGGCTTACAAACCGTGGGACCTCGGGTGAGTCACTGATGTGTCTGTGCTTGGGTTTCCTCGTCTGTAAAATGGAAATGAAGAAGCATCTGCCTCATAGGGTGGTTGTGAAGAGTAAATGCTACATGTAAAGAATTTAGATCAGAACATGGTCCGTAGTAGGTATTCAGTAAATTTAAGCCATTATTATTATTTTATGTTTATTAAATCCTCTGAATGCTTTCTCTAAACTCAAACACTTTTCTTTTACAAAAAGGAGATTGTTCTGTGTATATTTTGTGTCCTACTTATTTTTCATGTAGGCCTTTGCCGTGAGCATCTGTCCTCTTCTACAAGGGGGCTTTCCTAGCTAGTTAGATGGCGTTGTTGGAGATACTCAACCAGTTCTCTTACTATGGAACAGTACATCAGAGTCTCTTGCCATTATAAACACCTCAGTGAACATCTTTTTTGCTAAATATTTGCATACCATCCTTTTCTTTTGATGATTGTGCTTTATGGGGTAGCATCCCTTCTGAGGGTCACCAAGTGGAATTATGTGCAACGTTGGGTGTCGTGGGCACACACATTGTACAAGGAGTGGGAGCATAACCACTGTGCATTATGGACTCTCCAGGGCAAGGCGTCCGTCCACATTTTCCTTCGTCTTTCATGGTACTTCTCACAGTGTTTTGCTTGTGGCTGCCAAATCAATAAGATGCTTATGGAAAGTAGCCGTACCTGCTTTTCCTATATTTCTAGTTACATTAAGGCAATTAAGACCAGCCTTAACATTACTGCTGGTCTGCTTTTCTTCTTTTAAACTGTGCTGGTCTTCTTAAATATATTCCATTTCAAGTCACTATTGATCACCTCAGATGTTTTTTTGGAGTAAAGCTTGATATAAATAAACGAGCAAACAGCTAACTGACAGTCCAGTGGGGAACAGATTGTCTCCCAGGAGATACAAATTTTGTGTCACTGCGTGAGAACTGGTCAGGTTACACACGTGGTGAGTTCCTCTGACTTGGGCGAGATAGGATGTGGCTTATAGTCTCCTAAGTATTGTGAATCTCAAGAAAAACTTGTTTATTGCATCCTTAGAAATGACACAATGGGGGCAGACTGCAGTTCTCTGGTGCTTGTTTTTGGTGGGTTGAGATCTTAAAATGACAAGACATCACAGAACAAGAATCTACCGGAGCCTTGAAGGCGCAGACCTGGGTCTTTCTCTCTGGATAGCACTCTCATGCTCTCCGGACTCTGACCTCCTCACTCCCACCCTCTAAGACCTTCAAATCCCCTAGGATCCTTTAGGAAGCGCAGGCTGTGTTCTTCCCGCTGGGTGCCATTTTAGCGGAGGCATTTAGAAAAGTGTCAGAGGTGGCAAGCTCTGATTCCTAACAATACCAGTCTTTTCAACCATCTGTTGCAGAGATTAGAAAACTGTTTCTGCCAAGGGCCAGATAGTAAATACTTTTGACTTTGTGTGCCCTCAGGTGTCTGCTTCTCACTCACCCTATGGTCATAACTGCTCACCCCTGCTGTCGCAGCGTGAAAGCCGCCATAGGCAGTGCGTAAAGGCACGAGTGGGGCAACTTTACTTATGGACACTGAAATCTGACCTTCGTATAGTTTTCACCTTATTAGACACTTTTCTTCTTTTGACTTTTTTCAATCATTTAAAAATGTAAAGGCCATTCTTATTTCACAGACTATAGAAAAATAGACAATGGGCTGGATTTGTCAACCCCTGATCTGCACTCATCATTTTTCTTCTGCATATCACTTTCTGGCTGCACCATTTCCAGCTTTGTTGTGTCATTGTTTGAGACCTCTCAGCTCTTACTCTCAGCTAGCTGAGGCTCAGAGGTTCTTTGGAGAATCTGTGCTTCTGGCCCTCATGTAGCTCATTAGAGAGCCAGAATACCCGCCTAAAAGGACCATTTAGGACAAAAGCAGATAACGTCTCTCTTGTCTTTTTTGTGTCCCGGCTGGTCTGACGTGTAATTTGGGTCTCTGAAGGTTACAGATGGATGCTGACAAGTGGTGCTGGTTTCTGCAGGTTCCAAGGTTCTAATGAACAGAGTGTGCAGCCTGAGTGATGATGAGAGTCTGATTTTTAGGTAATTGAGGATATTTATATCTTTTGATAGGTTGGTGCCTCAGAGTTCTGTTCCAGCATGAAATTGAGAGTTAGAGAGAGATCAGGATAATCAATTTCGTGTCCTCTCCTCAGAACAATAATCTATCAGAGGGGTGTTCAGGCTGGAGTAGTAACTTGGGATGGAAACGGGAATTATAAACATTTTATGCTGCTCTATCTTCACTATATTTACAGTGAAAACGCAGTACAGATTTTTATGTGGAGCATGTTTGGAAGGAAATAATATGCCCCATGTCATAGGGAAACAGAACACAAGAAAATATTCTCAGATTTGTAGCTCTAGCCCTCGTCTGTGGAGCTGCCCATCAGACCGGTCCCTGGCATTTTATTTAGGGCTGTGAAGCAGTGGGGTGACAGAGACTCAGGCTGCCTGTGTAATGAGATTGGTTTGGTTGCTCTGACAGATGCAATGATTTATGAGAGTGCTTACTGCGAGGCATCTGCTGTGGCGAGCAGCCTGATGAAAGGCTTACAAGTGGGAGGTGGAGGAGAGCAAGGACGGGGAGAAGGGTGGCTGTGTACAGGCAGGTGAGGACCATCCTGATCGCAGCGGTTAGCCTGGTGAGCTGTATGGCGCTGTGGAGTAGTGTGAAATGGCAGAAGTAGCGTGGGCTTTGGAATTGCTCAGCTCTGACTTTGATCCCTGGCTCTGCTGCTCATTCGCCGAAATCTTAGGTGAGTTGCTTCTCCTCTTTGAGCCTCCATTTCTTCATCTATCAAATGGGGAGAAAAAACCCTCCCCTTCTCTCCCACTACATGACATTGTACTAATGTAAAAGTCCAAGCGGAGTTCCTCTGCATGGGAGAGCTCAGTAGGTGGTAGACATTATTCTTGTTTGTCTGTGTGTCTGTTCATCTGTTTATTCACCAGCATTGATCATTCTTTTCAATTTCTAATAAAGCCTCATTTTCAAATAGATGCCTAATGGTGGCTTAGGCGTCGATAACTCTTGTGATCAGGATGCAAGTACCTAACAGTTCACATAGGTATGAGCATTTAAATGGCACGTGGGAGTTGAGTAAGGACCTGAAGTAGGATTTAAAGAACAGCTGCCTGGCCAGTCAACACACTGAAAGATACACCACCTCACTAGTCATTGGGGAAATCCACAAAATAAAACCAAACGGAGGTATTGCTTCCTACTCAGCAGATTGGTGAAAAGTTTTAGTCTGACAATACCAAGTGTTAAGGAAAACACAGAGTGAGGGAGCTGATATGCACTATGAGTAGGAGTTTAAACTGATACGACTACTTTGTTAATATCTAGAAATTTGAAGATGTGCATAAGCTACCTACTCGCAAATTCCACTCCTAGGTATAACCTAGGGAGAATCCCTCACGTTCAATCAAGCCACTGTGCTCATAACCACATTGTTTGTCATAGGAAACAACCTTAGTCTCCATCAATGGGGCAGTGGATGCGTACTTAAGTGAGCGAGAGTTCCATGTGGGATCAGCATAGAAGATTTTTAAACAATGGTGAGTGAACAAAATAAAGTTGCAAACAAAACCATTTGCATATAGCTTGAGAGCATGGGAAACGATATTAATATATTGCCTATGGATCCCTACATACAATAAAAGTTTGAAGAAATTATTTGGAAGGATAAATATTAAATTCAGGATAGTATTAGGAGAAGAAAGAGGAGTGTGGTTGGAAAGGCTGCCTAGGGCTCATGTCCCAACTCTGCCACTTACTTACTGTCTTTATACCATTAGACAAGTGTCTTAACCTCTGTGCCTCAGTTTTCTGATGTATAAAATGGGAGAATAATATTATTGACCTCATAGGTATGCTTTGAGGATTAAATGAGTGTGTATAGGTCAAATGTTTAAAATAGTACCTAGCATGTGGTAAGTGCTATGTATGTGTTAGCATCTATGGTTCTTATTACATGAGTATTTTTATTATTCTTTCTTTCTTTTTTAAAATGTTAAACTGCAATTTTTTTCATTTATAAATGTTTCAGTATTTTTACTAAAAGATAAGGATATTTTTTAACGTAATTGCAATATCATTACACCTAAAAATTAGCAGTAATTCCTTAATATTGAGTACCCAGTAAGTGTTCAAATTCCAGTTGCCCATAAATATCATTAACTTTTTATGATTTGTTTGAGGTTTATTTCATGCATTGGGCTTGGTTGATTTGTCTTTTAAGACATTTTAAGACATTTTAATATATAGATTCCTCTTCTAACTTTCCTTTTTCTTGAAGTTTATTCCTTTTAGCTTTATTGAGGTATAATTGATACATAAAAACTTACACACTTTTATGCATGCATCTTGGTGAGTTTGGACGTAAGCAAACACTCATGATGCTATCGCCACAACCTTCAAAACTTTGCTTGTTTTCGTGTGTGTGTGTGTGAGTGTGTGTGTGTTGTGTTTTGGTAAGAACATTTAACATGAGATCTTTTTTTGTTTTTTTAATTTGCTCTCCAGACTTTTCACAAACACATTTAATCATTGTCCACATGCTTGCCTCTGCTGTCGCATAAAATGACTGACTAGGTTTGAATGTAGGTATGCATGCCCCTGTCCCAAGGGAAGCTTATTCAGCAGCAGAGTCAGAGTTACAGAGGTTTGCTCTTGTAAGCGAAATCACTCCCTGTCGTAGCATACCTGTGACACAGAGATCTCTCCTCTGAACAGATTTTAGAGCACACAATGAATATTGCACTTTTTAAAAAAGAAGAGATGTCATGGTTGCCCTTTGTCATCATAGAGTTGAAACGTGAGATTAAAGGTTAAAAATATTGTCAACAGGGGCTGGCCCGGTGGCGCAGCGGTTAAGTTAGCACGTTCCGATTTCGTGGCCCGAGGTTCGCTGGTTGGGATCCCAGGTGCGGACATGGCACTGCTTGGCACACCACGCTGTGGTAGGCATCCCACATATAAAGTAGAAGAAGATGGGCACAGATGTTAGTGCAGGGCCAGCCTTCCTCAGCAAAAAGAGGAGGATTGACAGAAGTTAACTCAGGGCTAATGTTCCTCAAAAAAAAATTAATTAATTAAATAAATAAACATTGTCAACATAGGAACTTCAGGGTGTGGCATAGGAACAGTACAGCTACAATCTATTGACCCCTAGATACATTAAGTACTATGCTAATAGATTTATATGCGCTCATTTCATCTTTCCCTATGAAGTAGGCACTGTTTCTATCCCTATTTTATAGACAGGAAGAAAGAGGCTTAGAAAGGCTGACTTCCCAAGGTCACACAGTTGGGGCCAGCAAGGCTGAGCCAGAACCCAGGTGGGAATGACTCGTGCTCTTGACTCGGCCTACCTGGCCTTTGTTCGCAGTAGCTTCCTCTCCTCAGAGTCCTACTTCCTTCCTGGGTCAGTCTTTCTAAGCTAAGTTATGCTGTGGTAGTTAACACTCCTAAAATAATAATAAAGGGTATTTCTCACTCATGTTACATATTCATGGAAGGTCAGCTGGGAGCTCTGCCACACAGCTCCTTCCTCTGGGACCCGGGCATCCTGGACGGAGCAGCCACAGTCTCACACCTTGCCCATTACTATGGCAGAGAGAGAGAGAATGTGAGAACAAGAACTACGGAGACTCTCTGGCCAACAGTGAAGTGCTACATCCTGGAATCGACACCCAGCACCTCCACCCACGTATCAGAGGCTAGGGTGGTGGTTTTTAAACAGGGGTCACCATGCCCCCCACCCCATCCCTAGGGGATATTTGTCAATGTCTAGAGACATTTTTAGTTGTCACACCTGGGGAGGGATGCTGCTGGTGCTATCAAGTGGCTAGAGGCCAGGGATGCTGCTGGATACCCTACAATGCATGGGACAGTCCCCCTGCTCCCCCGCAAAGATGTATTTGGCCCCAAATGTTGATAATGGCAAAGTTGAGAAACTCCGGATTAGAGCTAACCACAAGGGGCCAGAAATTGCAATTTTATGAAGCTGTAAGGGAGAAGAATCTGAAATACTTGACAAATGACACTAATGACCGTCACGTGTCCTCAGGCCTAAAGGCTGTCATATTTTCCCATGATGGACGTGAGCTGTTACTTTGAGGGATAGCCACGGCGTGGGTCTTATATCACAGTCAGCTCCATCAAAGGGCGGAGGAGGCCCCTGGACTCGCTTCTAAGCTGCCATTGCTCTTCCTCAGCACTGGAGCTGCCTGTGTGCCAGAAGGATAATGCAGGCCACATAGACAATTTTAAATTTTCTAGTATCCACTTACAAAAAGCAGAAGGGAACAGATGAAATTAATTTAATCTATTTAAATCAATAGCTCTAAATATTATAATTTCAACATGTAATCAGTGTAAAAAGTATTAATGAGATATGTTACTTTTTTTTTTGCACTGTCTTTGAAATTTGGTCTATTATACCTGTGACACACCTCAGTTCAGACTAGCCACGGTTCAGGTGCTCGGGTGGCACACGTGGTGAGTGGCTGCAGTATCGGGCATGCAGCCCTGGAGGTTTCTGTTCCTGGACTTAGTGACGGACTTGGCTTGGTCTCCTCTGAGGACTAGCAGCTCTGCTGTGACCCAGAGTCAGTAAGTTCTGAGAGCGGGACGTAACTTCCAGGCATATGTGTCCTAGACTCCCCAAGGCGGTCTGCGTATGTTTCAGAACCAAGAGGGACTGGCTTCCTGGGTGCTCTGTGCGTCACCTCCCTGTCTGTCTCTCACTGGCAGGTGCCTCGTCTGCAGACATGGAGCCCAGCTATGGAGGAGGTCTCTTTGACATGGTGAAGGGCGGAGCGGGAAGGCTCTTCAGTAACCTAAAGGACAACCTGAAGGACACCCTCAAAGACACATCTTCCAGAGTTATACAATCTGTCACCAGGTATGTGTGTTCTGCCCTCTTGAGTTAATGGACCTCCGTGTCCCCAAAGGATCTGGCTACCTGTCAACTGCTTGTCTGGCTCAAAGACTCTCAGTTTTGTGCTGTAATTGCATGGGATCTGATTGACTGAGCAGTGTCGTTGAAGCCATAAAGGTGAGTCCTTGAGAAGCTGCAAGCACACACTGGGAGGACTCAGCCCACTGGTACATCAGAATAGAGTGGTTGCCATCCCTGGCTTTTGAAACCAACATCCTGGGTTCTAATGCATTATCTGCCCTTGTTAACCACATGACCTAAGGCAAGTTAATTGACCTCTCTGAGCTTTACTTTTATACCCTGGTAGGATTTGTGTCTTTGGGTGATTTGAGAATTAAATGAGATAATAATGCACATGAAATTCAAATAAGTAATACTCAGGTAATCAAAACAAAATTTTGTCTTTGTATCTTAATAGCTCTTTAAAATTTATTTAGTGTGACAAGTTTTTTTACCCTTCTACTGTATGAAAATTCTTACAAGCGGGCCATATGAATTCTTTTTTATTCTTAGGTAGTAGAAAGTTCTATGGTCACTTTAAGTTACAATATGGAATTTTGAATGTGAAATTCAAATATCAAGTCCAGTATATTAATGAACATTTTAATCTTCACTCAAAGGTAAAATTTATCCCTCACTTCTAATCACTGGTAGGCAGAAAAAGGGGGTCCCTTGTTCTTTCTCCCGTTAACTGCTAGCTGCTCACACGTTGGGAGGCATTTCCTTGTAGGCAAACAGGCTGGAACAATCAGTGTGAATAAATAAGCCATGTTTTCTGTTCTGAGCCTGATTCTGTTCGTGATTCTGTTCCTCTGTAAAGAGGGTTGGGGTGCACTGGTTGGAGTGGCAGATTTATACTCCTGAGGGCGCAGACTGTCTTCTCTCAACAATGCTTCCATGTTAGAGAGAAGGCCTGAGGGATGTCAAAAGATGCCTACTGGACGGAAGTGGCCCAGGTTAATTGGCAAGCAATTGAGAGACAGAAATCTAGGCATCTTTGGGTCATCCTAATGAGTGCCCTTTCCTGTCTTGCTTCCAGCTACACGAAGGGAGACTTAGACTTCACTTACGTTACCTCCAGAATTATCGGTAAGTTTCTCACGGTTATCAACTGCTCATTACCTCAGCCTTCAGCTGCTGCCCATGGCGATGGCAGACCTGTGTGACCTGTTTTCTTTCTGTGTGACCCCCCCCCCCCAGTGATGTCCTTTCCTCTGGACAGTGTTGACATAGGATTCAGGAATCAGGTTGACGACATTCGAAGCTTTTTGGATTCCAGACATCCTGACCACTACACGGTGTACAATCTCTCGCCCAAGTCTTACCGAACTGCCAAGTTTCACAGCAGGGTAAGGAAATTTAGCCCGGGGACCTCACGCGGAAGACCTAACAGGGTACTTTGCCTCTTAAGAACTCGCCCCAGAGCTTTTGCTCTTAGGCGCGCGAAGCTGAAAAACTCTACGCTCTGGACACTTATCTACAAAATCTTTCCTAGGCTGTTATGAGATATTCTGAAGATTTCCCTTGGGTGAGGCTGTTTGCAGGATGGTTTATCTGTCAATGAAATGTATCTAATTTGGGATGTAAATCAGTTGTGGCTGGTTGCTCAGTTGTAGGGCCCGTTGCTGGGAGGCTCGGGGGGAGACTGACTGCCATGTGGGGCAGGTGCTTGCCTTACGCTGTAGCACTAATTATACCCTTCACCCTTCCTTGTTGACTCTTGGGCATCATGATGAGGCAGTGTAGCTAGAGCAGGACAGACATGCCAGCATTAATGGAAATAGCTCTCTGACATTCGGTAAAGGTACATCTTTCGTAAGTGGAGGATAGCACGTAAGCAGTCCACACTGTAGGCTTGGTGATCCTGTTTCTAATATTAATTAGAGTGAAAGCAGCGGCCAACGCTTAGAGAGCATTTACACTGTGCTGAGCACTTTACATGCAATATCTCATTTAATTCTCGCCACAGTCCCCTGAGGTAGATGGAGAAACTGAGGCACAGAGAGGTAAGGTAACTTGCTTAAGACCGCACAACTAGTAAGTGGCCTAAGGCTCTTAACCATCACCCTAGGCTGACAGCATTACCTGGAAAAAGCCAGATGATCCTCTCAAGAAGCTTTTTGAACCAGGCAGAGAAATAGTCCTAGTTTCAGGCTGGTTAAGGAGCTGTGAGAGCTGGCTTAGCTTTGAATCTGATGTCGAGCCTGTTATTTCTGGCTACTGAATTCTTGATTTACTCACTAGAATAAGGCTTTTCCTCTCTTAAGAACATCTTCAAATATTTTGACTTAGCCTTTAGAGGAGATTGGTTTTGCAACTCCATCTAGATCTATTAATAAATAGAAAGAATTTTATATGCATTGGACCCTTTAAAAGTGAAACTTGATTCCAAGTATGCTGGTTGTCCATACTGTGTCTCTAGGATTTAGCTTTGATGCCAGAAGACACTTTGCTCCAAATTCCCATTAATAATCTCTGGGCCTCAGTTTCCAGATCTGTAAAAAACACCAGAAGGTTGGTTTGTATGCTCTCTAAGACCACTTCGTGCCCTGATGTTCAATAAGATAGGGGAGAGTTTTGTTAAGGACTCTTTTTCTCAGAGTGTTCCCGGAATAGGCAAGAGGGAACCCTGTGGTCCTCAGGCTGTAGGGGACATCAGACTCACCTGGGGGGCCTCTTAGACACCAGGCCCAGCATCTCTGATTCCTCAGGACAGGGTGCCGTGAGCCTCTGCACTACTAACCCCTTCCTGGGGCTACTCCGGCTCTCGCTCTGGGGGCCGCTCTCTGAGAAGCACTGATGGAGCCATGCTGAAGTGGTTAGGTCTAGATTCTCATTCTGCAACGGAGAGTTTAAACGCAGCTTTTAAAAATTTGCCATATCTAACTGCTCTTCCAACTCTTATTGCATCTATTACCTAATTCAGAGCAAGTGAATTAACATCACACAGAAATGTGGGTAGCTATTCTGACTTGGATGCAAATCTTTTGAACTGATTTTTTCATGTTTGGAGACTCAGTGAGCGCCATCGTTTTCATAACTGAAGGACTGTGGGGCATTCTGCACAATATTTCATAGAATTTTATTTGATCTTGCAAGATCTGTGATATTATGGAAAATTTTCCCTCTGAAAGTAAATAAAGATATAATATCATTATAGAAGCATTCATATGTATAAAGATGTCTCTTTGTGTAGAATTTTCAAAGGCAAGCTCTATAAAGATATTTGAAGAAAGGCATCTATTTGTTTAACTACATATTTTGTGACCAGTCTTAACAAAGGAACTGGGAATTCCGTATCGAGCATCTGCCCTGGGCTGCTCTCACTTGCCTTGGAAGCACAGGGAGCATGTTTATTTCACTTGCTACCTAGAACAGTGCCTGGCAGGGCTAACAAATGTTTCTGAGAACAATGAATGTGCCAAGAATTGTTAAACACTTAGATATAAAATCAATATTTCGTTCTTGTCCTCAAGGCACTTAAGACTAGTTGGCGAGAGAACCTAGGACATTCTGTAGACAAATGTAGACAGTATTTACAAAACCCACTGAGGGAGTTCAGTGGAGGGAGACAGCAGTGTGAGCTGGACCTTGAAGCGTGAGTAAGTCTTGTATAGGTGAAAGGAGTGGGGTTGTTTCTTCTCCATGCAAATTGTAGAATGTGTTTTCTCAGGCTCTTTGTGATCTGGCTTCTGCCCGCCTCGTCTTTCACTGTTCTCCGCTGCCTGAAACCCCATGTTCCAACCAGAGGACACATACACTGTCTCTTTGCATGAGCGGCTCCCTCTGCCTAAAAGACCACTTGCGCCACACCCCCCTTCTTTGTTAGCTTAACTTCCCTACAGGGAGGATTTCCACATGCCACAGGCTTTTCCAGTTCTTTCCCCTAAACATAGGATGGCACTCCGTCTTCAGCCCTTCCCAGACCGTCCCAGAACTCCACCAAATGGAACTGGACCCTCTGACCTAGCTCCCTGAACCCTCAGTGGCATCTCAGGAAGACCGTCCCAAAGCGTTGGTGTTTTCATCTTAGCTCTGTTTTTGATATGACTACAGCTCTTTTCAAGCCCGGAGTCCTTTCTCTCCCCATCACTAACCCCGTGAATTGATTTGCATCTCATTGTTGCATTACTTAGAAAAGTTTTCTTGGTTCTCATCTTCTAGTCCTTGAGGACTAGAAACCATTTCCTCCTCCTTCCAGATCAGTGCAGTGCCAGGTCTACTGTTAAATCTTATTTTAATAAAGGTAGATGGCAGAGTCTTCCATAAATACCAGTGTTGGAAAACACCAAACACAAGACTGATTTTATTTATGGACTCACTGGAGTCCAGCTCTGCCTGTGTTTCTATGCCTTGAAACCTGAACTCAGTCACTTTACATTTTTATTGTGTGTTGTGTTTGGGGATCCGGGTGGCAGTGGCAGAGACAGGCTGTTTCCAGCAAGATTTTACTTTGCGGAGGGGCGTGATCCTGTATTTTGATTAGCTTTTATGTGTAGAAGCTACATGGGTTGACAGGAATATGAAATAATCAAATAGCGGTTTTCTTAGTATTTGCATATTTAACAGAATGTTAAAATAGGACACTGTTTAGTCTCAGTTTTAACAGGGGATTCAACTCAGAACAACACGTAGCAGATAGCCCTGTATTCCAAGTGAGGTGCTAGAATAGCTATTCAGGTAGTGAGCGTCAGTTTTTTGACTCTTAGCCAGTATCCACCTTGAGGAAATAAAAGTACCGATGTTGACGACAGAGTCCTGGAGACCAACAAGACGCTTCATCTAAACCAGATGTTCTCAATCTGAGTTAAAAAGACCCGGGTCCACTGTGCATTTAGATCCATGGATGGCTTGAGAATTTAACCATCTGCTTCCACTCCTATCTTTTTTTTTATTGTAGTGAAATATTCATAACATAGACATATCATTTTAAGCATTTTTTGTGTTTTTTTAAAAGATTTTATTTTTCCTTTTTCTCCTCAAAGCCCCCCTGTACATAGTTGTGTGTTTTTAGTTGTGGGTCCTTCTAGTTGTGGCATGTGGGATGCCGCCTCAGCATGGCCTGACGAGCAGTGCCATGTCCGTGCCCAGGATCTGAACCGGCAAAACCCTGGGCTGCCAAAGGGGAGCACGCAACCACTCGGCCACGGGGCCGGCCCCTGTTTTAAGCATTTGTAAGTGTACAGTTCAGTGGCATTAAATACACTCACAATATTGTGTAGCTGTCACCACTATCTATACCCAAACCTTTTTACCATCCCCTAGGTAAACCCTGTACCCATCTACTCCACGAGCGTGTGGATGTGTGTGTGCTGGTTCACTTTCTGCACAGAAGGTTTGTAGCTACGCCCTCAAATATCAGGACCACAGCTTTACACATTTCTTGGCCATGCTGTTGACAATAAATGGAAAACTAGATGAATGGCCACCAAGTCTAGCCTGGCCCTAAAGTTCTTACGTTCGAATTAATGCTATTCCAGTGCCTCTTTGAGCCTCCTTGCCTCTCTGGCCCATTTGGAAGGAAAGTATGCCGAAGGAGCCTTGTTGGTAAAATAAACATAACAGAAACAATAAACCCAGCTGCTGCTTTTAGAATCTTCCTTCATTTTGACTGTTTCTAAACCACATGATCTTGTAGGATTACTTCCCCTTGGGAACAACTTGATTTTTAGAAGATATATGATCAACTTGGGCTTCTTTTAAAGAGCTCATGATTGTTTGAAGGTCAACCCTTTTTTTCCCCTTTTCCTTCCAGAGCTCACCAAAGAGGTCAGCATAGCTCCGAGTTGTTTCTGCGTTGGTTCGCTGGTTGGTGAAGGGGGTTGGCCATAGAGGAGTGACTTTACAGCTTCTACTTCCTCTCTCCTTTGCTACCATGCATCAGTGTAAGGACAGGAAGTTATGGGGTAGAAAAATATCCCTGGCCTGGTGCCAGAGGACCAGGGAGCCCCACCTTCTAGTTCAGCAGCTTTCAGTGAATTGAATGTCTCAGCCTTGGTAAAATACAGTCACGTGTCACATGCCAACGTTTTGGTCAACCATGGACCACATATACAATAGTGGTCCCATAAGATGAGTACCGTATAACCTAGTGTGTAGTAGGCTATCCCATCTAGGTTTGTGTAAGTGCACTCTATGATGCTCGCACAACCATGAAATCACCTAACAACGTATTTCCTAGAACATACCCCCGTTGTTAAGCGACACATGAGTGTATAGCCATCACTTGAAGCCATAACCACCTCACAAATGTAAGATGGAATTGTGGTTAATAATCAATCATCGGACAGTGTGGTGTAGAAAGTACACAAATTATTATTTTTTTATTGAGGAGAAATTGTATAAGATTTACAAATTTTGAGCTTTAAGACTTACCCTAGGTTCACATCTCAGCTCCTCCTCTACCTGGGTAGGTAAGTCGCTTCACCTCAGCTGAGACTCAGTTTTCTCCTGTAAAAAATGGGGATAACAATCAGAATGCCTGTCTCACAAATACTTGGAAAGTTTTTCTGTAGGTTTGCTGTACGGAATAAATTTGATAGCAGTGTCTGACTTAGAGTAAGCATTCAGTAAGTGGTAGCTATGATTACCGTTAGTAATAATAAAACACCACAATAATGCTGTCAGATTCTGAAAACATGGGATATGGTTCTTCAGTCTGATTCTCTGTAGCACTTTTTGCTCTTATGCTCAGCAACTGGGATGCTTACGTCGTCTTTTCCCATGCTTGGGGGATGGAGAGGTGAAAATTGAATGGCAGCCAGCCCTGGTGCTGTTTTGGCCTCTGCTCCTGTTGGGTAGTATGGTGGCAGCCTGGTGATCCATATGGCATTCTCTGATGCTCCGCAGCTCCAGGGGTGTTCGGAGACGTTGGAGACGGCCTCATCAGGTGTCACGTGCCCAGGGAGTGTGCTGATTGCGTGAAACTGAGCTCCAGAGAGCTACAAAAATAGCTGGCAGTGACTGATCCTTTTTTAAAGTTTTTGGTTTTGTTTATGCCTTAATATTTTTTCCCTCTTAGAGCACATGCTTTTAAAAAATTCTAATTGTATGTTTGCTTAGTGGCGTATAATTATATATCAAGTAAATACGTAATAATGGAGTACTTTAAATTAATATTGTTTACTTGATTGATTTAATGATTCGGGAGCTATTAGCCTATTGTGCTAAGAACAATTTACCCAACTTTTGGCTGAGACTTATTATAGATGTTGCCATGTTAGTGTTTGTATGGGTGACATACAGTTTCTATAAAGTTTAAAAATATTGCCTGGGAAAACAAACTTCCTACAGTTTTACATGGTTGCAATCTAAAAAAACAACGAATTGATTTGCCCATTTCTCCCTCATGATATTGTACATGTAGATAAATCTATGACAAGAAGAGATTGCCAGATGGGGTTCATTCCTTCCCTCTTTCACTCATTCATTTGCTCAGCCCATGCCTACTGAGCACCTGCCATTTGACTAGCACATGACACTGGGGTTGGCTTACGAAATGAATAATAGTCTTTCTTCTCATGGGGCTTAGTATCTAGACAGGGAGTCAGAAATAACAGTTAATTCGATATGGCTTGACAATTAGCTGGCACTTGCTGTGTTTGTCTTGTGCTGCTGAATTCTCACAGCCATCTTCTAATGCCCGTTTTCAGTGGACACACGAGAGAATTGAGGTGTGGAGGGGTTAGTAAGTTGCCTAAGGTCACTCAAGTAGTAAGTGATAAAGCCCAGGTGAAAATGCAACCTGTGGGCTTAGGCACGCTGCTCTATGGTAAAAGCTGTCATCGATGGCTACGACCAGGGCATGGGTACAAAGGTCACGGAGCTGACTGAGCATCTCTGCTCGTGGGTGTTAAAGACACTGTCAGAGACCAGAGTACACTTGAACTTGGGTTTTGAAAGATGAATAAGAATCTACCAAGGGCAGAAAAAGCATTGCAGACAGGAAGCAGCTTGTGCAAATGTACATTTTGCAATTCCTCTGATGGCAAAATTATCTTCCCCTTCTTTTTTTTTTAACCAACATATTTCCATTGCTTGAGAACACATCAATGGCGAATCTAACTGAGGGTAAAGAATGGGCCAGAAATAGCCCTAAATTATGTTGGGTAAAAAGGGCCAGCTGTTATGGCATTTAAATGGACAGAGGCGCAATCGTGGGTCACCCTGGATTGTTGGGAGCTAGGTCAAGCATTTCAGCTACTTTGTTTAATAAACAACACCTGTCATTCCCAAAGATACAGGAAAATGAGTAACCCGAAGGTCCCCTGCCACTGTCCCACAGTCATCTTGTAGAAAAAAAGTTACAAATTAACCAAAAAGAATGGGCTTTCTTGGCAACCCCAGAGGGAGAAACTCCACACGTTTGATTTCGGATGTCAGCTCTGTGGATTATCGGCTGACCAGCAAAGGGCGAACCAAGCGGATTGGTCCTGCCTCCCTTCTCCCCCTCCCCGCTGTGAAATCTTAGGAATCTGAGACCTCTGGGGTTTGGTGATGGTGGTAGTGTTGCAGAGCACTTTCTGATGACACCATCCATGTAAAACCTGTTTTCTTCTCCAGAATTCCCTACCTCAGTAAGAGGCACCTGCCATCCTTTTGTCCAGCCATTCAAGCCAGAAACCTGGGAGTCACCCCTGACTCCTCCCCGGTCTTTCTTTTTAGTACATCCCTCCACACTCAGACGCTGCCACCATGTGATCACCCACCGAGTCTTGTGTACAGGTGTTCCACCTCCTCGCTCTTTCTGGAATCCCTCCAGTCTTTTTGCGCCCCACTGGCGCTCATCTAGCCTGAGCCGCCGTCATCGTTACCGGGACTCCTCAGGAGCCTCCTCACTGGTCTCCCTGTCTTTAGCCTTGTGTCATCCACACCCATTCTCCATCCTGGATCTTGGAGGTCTTTGGAAGATGCAGATCTGTGAGTCACTCCCCTTAAATGCTTCTCCCAGTTCCTAACGAGGCCTTGTATGATCTGACCCTTCAGTCCACACTCTCGCCTTATAGGATTTCATTCATTTTTTTCAAACACAGCCAGGTCTATCTGACTTCGTGGCTTTTCATTGTCAGTTACCTGATGGAATGGTAATAATAATAATAGCTAACATTTATCGATCACTTGGTGGGTGTCGGATACTGAGATAAGCCCCCGAAATTCATTCTCTTGTAGCACCCACAAACCTGTGAGATAGGTAGGTGGGTATCTCTCAGTACATTTTATGAAGAAAGGCTTAAAGAGGTCATAAAGTTTGTCTAAGTCTAAGCTCCTTCTTATTGTTTATTAGCTGAATTCGTAAATATCTAATGGATTGAGGCTCATGCCTGGTATGCTGAGGCGAGTGAGCACCTCACCAGTGTACTGTTGTAGCCCAGGATTTACTCTCAGAAGACCTGACCAGCAGTGGGACTTTAGGCAAGACAGCCTCCGAGAGTCGGTTTTCTCATCTGGAGATGGGGATCGTATTAATTAATGCCTGTCTCACGTGATAGTTGTACAGATCAGGGCCAAGCAGAATTCCAGGAACATAGTCAATGCTTTGTAACCTGTTAGGTGAGCATATGTGTTAGAGGAAGGACAATGCTGAAAGCTGTCCCCCAGGGAATTGTGGGTCCCTTCATTAAAGAGAAGGAAATAAGAGCCCTGAACCAGCCTACCTTTGGCTACTCGAGAGCACTTTTCGTGTTTTCACTTTTCTCAGCTGAGATAAAATTAGGGGTAGTGCAGGATTTATAATCTAATCCTATAATTAAGCATCTAGTAGGCAGATCAGAACATTTTATACTAGAAATTAAATTCAATGTAACTTCACAGAATTTTTAAAAATTCAAGTATGTAATTTAAATCATCTAGTTTAATATTTAAGATGTACTTCAAAATGTATTTTCATACCTTTACTGAAAAAGAATTTTGTGTGTGTGTGTGAGGAAGATTGGCCCTGAGCTACCATCTGTTGCCAATCCTCCTCTTTGTGCTTGAGGAAGATCGTCGCTGAGCTAACATCTGTGCCAATCTTCCTCTATTTTATGTGGGATGCTGCCACAGCATGGCTTGATGAACAGTGTGTAGGTCCGTGCCTGGGATCTGAACCCACAAACCCCGGGCCACCAAAGTGGAGTGTACACACTTAACCACTATACCACCAGACTGGCCCCTGAAGCAGAATTTTTTAATTAAAAAATTGGTGGATTGAACAACTCTTCTTTCTGTGTTTGGACCCTGTTCCCAACTCTTCCTGGCTGTATTAAAGGGATGTAGTTTCACTTCTGAGAGAATTCGTTTGCTCTGACGTCTGCTCATGGAGAGCAAGTTGCTGGGGGAGTTCATTTCCTTTTGCTGTGTTCCTTTAGGTCTCAGAATGCAGTTGGCCCATTAGGCAGGCCCCCAGTCTGCACAACCTCTTCGCCGTGTGTCGGAATATGTATAACTGGCTACTACAGAATCCCAAAAACGTCTGTGTTGTCCACTGCTTGGTGAGTAACCTTTTGTTGTTGTTGTTGTCGTCATGTGTGTCGGTTCTGTTTGGTTTGGTGAAATATGGGTGGCCCCATACAGATTGGTGAACAGGTAACATTTAAGTTGCATGGGTATTTATTAAGCCCCTACTTAGGAATTAGGTGATGTGAGGGACGTAAAGATGAGGGAAGAACTTATTATTCTTGCCTTAAAGCTGAGTACTCATGCAGGCAGATAGGTGCACAGCCCACACGATGCAGGGCCTCTGGAAGGTGCTGGCTGTTATAAAGAGCTAGAAACAAGAGCTGTGGGTGCACAGGCAAAGATGCCATTGAGTTTTGTGTGAATAAAATTTGCATAAACACATTGGAATATTTTTTTCTTACCTTTGTGTTTGAATAAAAATGAGATGAAAAGACACCTGTGTCCTTGTGAGTAGTCACGTAGATTGACTATTTTATAGTAGTTCCCAGTGGGGCTCATGATTTTTCTGACTACTGGCTTCCAAGAGGCCCTTTCCCCAAAGCTTCCTCCAGGGGCCTCTTACTTATCATTTAAAACTCGACTTTAGATAAAATATTTCTGGCTTTTTTTTTTTTTTTTTTTTTACTATTTTCACAATATGGACATTCCCACTGTATATCTAAATGTCTTCGGTGGCATTTAATACACTGCATCATCATTATCTGGTGACCTGCCTGCTTTCCCACTAGGCTGTGAGCATCTTGCTGGCAAGAACTGTGTCTTCTTTACCTTTGTACCCCAGGTATGCAAGATCTGAATCAGTGATTGAATACATGAACAAGCTAACACGCAGATGGAGTTTGAGCATAAATACTAGAACCGTCCATTGCTTCTATAAACTTCTGGGTTTTTTTTTTTTTTTTCCTATAATCCTACTGATGATTTTGCCCTTCTTTCTTGAGAGCCAGTTGACTAAAAGAGGGTAGAAAGTTGAAGAGTATTTTTTCTACTTTCTGTTTCACATCCTCAAACTCCTGGCAATGAATGAAAAGCACTTGGTGTTTGTAGGAGGTCATTGTGAGAGGCCAGGGGGTTTTCCTGTCAGAGACACAACAGATTGCACAACAGGACACATTTCTTCTAGGACCTAAGCAGCTTTGGGCATCTGGGTGATTTTTGTCTTCACTCAAAAACTTTCTAAAAGTTCAGAGAGCCTAGGTCTGACAACTTGGTAAGGGAAGATGGCTCGAGAGAGACCAGAGGCCCCCATTTCTAATGATACAATCATAAAGAACAAAAACCCAATGAGAAAGAGAAAAGAAGAGGCAGACAAAGGACTATGAGTCCATAGGCTGCTTCTCCAGACTCGGGGAAGGACGTGCACGAGTTGGAAGTCTGCACCAAGTCTTGGGGAAATGGAACTGAAGTGGGGGTGGGAGCTTTTATTTTTATCCTATATATATAAAACCTACTGTTTTATTAGAAATCAGAAGCATATACTCCAAAAGATAAGCCTTATTCTTTAATTTAAAAAATACCCTTATAAAACTTTTTAAAAGACCTGCGTGGCAGATAAAAGGAGGAGACACATTTCCGAGAGCCATGAAGCTGTTAAAAGCAGCAGGAAGGCTAAATCTAAAAAGAATCAAGATTGAGAAAAACGTCTTTTTTTAAAAAATCTGTCCTTGGAGTAAGGACAACAACAAATGCTTGAGGCACTTATGTAGTCTTAACTCCTTTCTTCTGTTTCCTTTATCAGGGGGAACAAATGTCAAGCTAGAAAGAGAGTAACAATGATAATTAAGACAAAGATGGAGGTAGTGAGATAGTCAGAGAGCCTTCCAGTGCTTAAAGTAATCCACTCTCCAGACGGAGATCATGTGACCGAATGCTGAACGCAGTGGGAAGAGCCATTATGCATTCCTTATGTAACATGAGGAAAACAGGGCCAAGTGCCAGGCAAGCAAGGAGAGGAGATTTTTTCTGAAAGACGGAGGAAGTTGATCCTGGAAAGTTCCAGGCTGGTGAGCCTGATGGCTATTGAAGGAGAAATTCTAATATAAATTTTTGCACAGATGATTTTAAACCGTTAGAAAAAAGGAGTCCACATTGGTTCATTATGAACACACGTATCACACCAACTGAACTTTTGCAACTAGACTAATAGATTCGTAGAGATAGTTTATTGGATTCCTGCAAGATATTCCTCAGTTTCTTATAATCAAGTGGAAAAATTGGGGCTAGATTGTTAGACATTTAGTCAAATTGTGGCTGAATATCTGCTTCCAAAGGTAGATGATTACTGTATCAGCATCCTCCCAGGAGCGGGCTGCATTTGGTTGCCTTTTTTTTTGTTTTTTTAAAGATTGGCACCTGAGCCAACAACTGTTGCCGATCTTTTTTTTTTTCTGCTTTTTCTCCCCCAAATCCTCCCAGTACATAGCTGTATATTTTAGTCGTGGGTCCTTCTAACTGTGGCGTGTGGGACGCCATCTCAACATGGCCTGACGCGTGATGCCATATCTGCACCTAAGATCTGAACTGGTGAAACCCTGGGCTGCCAAAGTGGAGCGCGTGAACTTAACCACTTGGCTACGGGGCCAGCCCCTGGTTGCCTTTTTAATGATCAACTTTAACAAAATGTGGAGATCAAGCTTATCAGTTTTCTCAGACTGGGAGGGTCACATAAGGAATATGGATTTTAAAAGGTTTTGCTGGTTGGTCATCTAACAGAAACTAACAATGTGAAATTAAACACAGGATAAAAGTAAAGTCCTGAATTCTGGTTCTAAAAGATTCAGTATATTTGTCTGTTAGCTTAATGCATCATCTGAAAAGGAACTCCAGTTTTAGTGGATAGAAAGATCAGTAAGAGCTCATGGAGCAAATTCCCCTGTATTTAAACTAGTTTGGTCTGGGGTTGACACCGCCTCTCTGTGTAATAGAAATCGACGAGGTGCCCAACCAAAGTCTCAGGGAAGGTTTTATTGGGGCATATTTATGCTCCAGCACAAGGGGCAGCACAGGAGAAGTGGCTCCTTGGCTGGATCCAGAAGGGCGTCGTCCTGAGTCTTTTACGGGGTGAAGGGAGTGGACTGCATCCTGATTTTCCTCCTCCATTGTGCTTCCCTCTTCCTTGTGATGTTGTCCTCGCCTGCCTGGTCGGCGTTGCGGTCCCTGCCCCTGCCCAGTAGATCCAGCAGGGCAGTGTTGCTCACTACTGCCACCCCAGGAAGGTCGTATAGTGGTCCTCTCAAGGCTTTGTGCACCTGCAGAAGTCGGGATCCACTGCTTGGGGGAAGTTTGGGGTTGGAAGGTTGCTTATCTTGACTTCAAAAATAGCTGGGCTGGGAGGTACCCAACCTGTGAGTGGCAGAGTCCCGTCCCTATTCTGTCTCAGGATTATATTAATAAAAGCATAGTGCCTAGACTAAGGATAATGGTATTTGCTCTCTAGTTTGGTCAGAACACATCTCCAATCTTGCATTTCACATCTGGGCAGCACATTTAAGGTTGAGTCTGTTCAGAGGAAGTACACCAAAAGATATCTCTTAGAATGGAATATCAGGGCCAGTCCCATGTGGCCTGGTGGTTAAGTTCAGCATGCTCCACTTTGGCCACCCAGGTTTGTTTCCTGGGGTGCAGACCTACACATCTCTGTTAGTGGCCATGCTGTGCTGGCAGCCCACATACTAAAAAATAGAGAAGATTGGTACTGATGTTAGCTCAGGGCAAATCTTCCTCAGTAGGAAGAAAAAAGGAATATCAGATGAGGAAGAATTGAAGGGATTTCTTTAGGCAGGGTTCTCCAGAGAAACAGAACCAATGGGATATATAGAGATATATAGAATATACAGAGAGAGATATACATATATAAGAGGAGATTTATTATACGGATTGGCTTATGCCATTATGGAGGCTGATAAGTTGCACAATCTGCCCTCTGCAAGCTGGAGACCCAGGAAAGCTGGTGGTGTAATTTAGTGTGTGTCTGCAGGCCTGAGAATCAAGGGGGCCACTGGTGGAAGTCCAGCAGTCCGAAGGCGGGAAAACCAGGAGCTCTGATTTCCAAGAGCAGGAGAAGATGGAGGTCCCAGCTCAAGAAGAGAGAGAGACTTCGCCCTTCCTTCCTTTTTGTTCTACTTGGACCCTCAACAGATTGGCTGATGCCCACCCACTTTGATGAGCGCGGCTCTCTGTACTCCGTCTACTGATTCAGATGCTGATCTCTTCCTGAAACGCCCTCACAGGCACACCCACAGATAATGTTTTACCAGCTATGGGGCATCCCTTAGCCCAGTCAAGTTGACACATAAAATTAACATCGTAGACCGGGTGTGTTTGTAACCTGGAGAATGGAAGAGCTGATGGAAAGGGAGGGTATTTCAGATAAAGACTGTCCCTGGGAGAAAGGAGTCAGTTGACTCTGTCCTGGCAGAAGGAGGAACGAGGATCCTTGAGCAGAATAGACTGCAAGTGCACGTATTCAGTGCATGGAAGAGCTCTGTGACCAGGACTGGACAACTTCAAGTAGCAGGAAGCTCCCTGTCACCTGAAGTGTTCTAGAAGCGGCTGGCTCACCCCATCTGCCAGGAATGTTGTCGCATGTATTCCTCCATTGAATGTGGTTCAATCAGGTGGAACTGCTTCAGTTTGTATGAATCAGGAACATACTTTGGGTAAAATATATACATAGCATTTTCCAAAAAGCAGTATTTGCCTCACCTGTGAACTCTACCTCCAGTCCTAAACCAAGAGACCTCACTGTTAGTTCTGATCCTACAAGTCCAAAGTTACTTTGACGATTTGATCATTTTTCAGTAAATACATACAAATCAAATGTATATTGCTGGGTTACTTAGGTTAGTGGAGAGTCAATTTTATCCTGAGGATGGTCTTTCCTTGCTGCTTTGTGATTTAAATAGCTGGGACAGATTTTGGTTGTCAAGTGAACAATTTTGAATCGACAGGCACCCCCAGCTAGGAAGATTTCTCTCTTCTCTCCCTCGCCCCTCTTTTAATTGCAAGTACAGCCATTCTCAGTGGTGAGTGGTTCTTTGGTCTGTGTTTGCAACAAGTTCATACGTTTTCTTTGGCAGGATGGACGGGCAGCATCGTCAATTCTGGTTGGTGCTATGTTCATTTTCTGTAATCTCTACTCTACTCCTGGCCCAGCTGTTCGGTTGCTGTATGCAAAGCGCCCAGGAATTGGACTTTCGCCATCCCACAGGAGGTAAAGTAAGCTAGATGCAGAGTAGGTGCAGACATGGGCTAATTGGTATCGTGTACTTAAAAAAAAAAGAAAATGCCTTTTAGATAATTGGCTTATTATCTTCTCTGTAGTCACAATTTCTTCCTTCCTCTTATTTAAGTTGCATCTCTTTACTTTTGGATTAAAAGTGCTTCTGAAGATAAATTCTGAAAATTTTCTAGACTAGCCCTTAGCTGATAAATTTAATTTGTTCGCTCAAATAGGAATAGATGTTCAAATATTGAGCTGGTATAAAGCTTTTTCATTTAATAAATACCCCTTTATCAGTTCTTTGGAGGAGGTCACTAGTTAAAAGCTCTCCTAAATTACTGGCTGTATTCTCTTTTGCTAGCTAATGTTTAAGAAATTAACACAGTAAATTTGTATTGTAAGTGAATAATTTACAAGAACAAACTTCCCAGCAAAGATTGACTGCTCGTTTCTTCTTGTGTGGTGGGCACCAACAGAATGTCAACATTGTGTTTTAGATACCTGGGCTATATGTGTGACCTACTAGCGGACAAACCCTACCGCCCTCACTTCAAGCCTCTCACCATTAAGTCGATCACTGTCAGTCCAGTTCCTTTTTTTAACAAACAGAGAAATGGATGTCGCCCTTACTGTGATGTGCTGATTGGAGAAACCAAAATATATACAACCTGTGCAGATTTTGAACGAATGAAGTAAGTCATGATACTTTTCTTCACTTCTTGTGAACTGCTCAAACCTTGTGAAAGTTGGATCATATTCTTCCTGTGAAGACTACATCATTGTGAAATGGCTGATATAAAAAAAAATGTTCAACATAGGCGGTAGTCACAGAAAAATTCAATCAAGGGATGCCAATGACCCCTTTCAAACGGTGATACAAGTTAAGGGACCAGCATGAGCTATGATGAAGCTTAAGACAGTGTGTGGGACAGAGGACCTGAACATTCAAGAAGGAGAATTGATGAGATCTGGGGAGGATAATGGAAGAATCAGGGAAGAATGAGATTTCTAGATGAGCAACTAGGTAGATGCTGATGTAATTAAAGAAGTTATAGAATCTATCATAAAGAGCAGGTGCCAGTGGGAGGTGATAGGGGGTGTGGAGAGAAGGGAGTGGATGGTGACATCAAATGCAATTAGTTTGGAATAGATTGAATTTGAGGCTTGGTATCCAAGGCCCTCAGAGAGCATTGCATTGCTGTTTCTATAGTGATCTTGGTTGGAATTTTTGTACCCTATATCTCTGCTTTTACTCTTAATTGAAAGTTAGGGGGTGGCAAATACATAAGGGATAGATTTGAGGAAATCAAGATCTGCACAGTAGGGATGGGCAGTTGGTCTATCTGATAATGTGGCTGGGATGGAGAGAGAGTGGTTTAGGATTGACAAGGCCAATGCCATCAGATGGCAGAACCAGTTTGCACCTAGTTGGTACTGCCTGTGCTCCTGACTTTGCTTAAGCCAGGAAATGGTTCCTGCGTCCAGGCCTGGGCAAACAGATCCATTGGCCAGAGCCACAGAGGACTGTACCTTTGTTATTGTACCAAATTGGACTCTCTCTCAATGTGTGTTATTGTCTCTGTTTAAAGAGAATACCGTGTCCAAGATGGAAAAATCTTCATTCCCTTGAGCATCACTGTGCAAGGAGATGTGGTCGTTTCCATGTATCACTTGAGATCAACCATCGGGAGCCGGCTACAGGCTAAGGTATGGTTTCAGGAAGAATCACGGCATACACTCCTCTGACCCTTGAATAGGAGTATTTTAGAATCTTTTCTCTACATCACTTTGGGCTTGAGGGACGTGTGGTTTTAGAATTAGAAAGAGCCTGTAAAGATTACTTATGCCCACCTCCCTCAGTTTACAGGGGAGGAAACAGACTCAGAAAGCTTGTGACTTGCCTAGATGATTTTGCCAGAAGATGGCAGCCCTAGGACTTCTAGCAAACCTTGCTCTTTAGAAGCTTGTGCCTTTTTTATAGTGTCCCATTGGGATCAGTGTGGGGGGATATTTCTACTAAGGATGTGGGGTTAAGTAATTTTTTTTTTTCAATTTTTTTATTATGATGAAATTCACCCTTTTACAGCATACAATGCATTGTTTTTAGTATTTTCAAAAGGCTGTGCAGCACCACTATCTAATTCCAGAGTACTTTCCTCACCCCCAAAAGAAGCCTTCTACCTGTTAGCAGCCCCTGCCCAGTCTCCCTCCTCCAGCTCCTACACAACCACTAATCTACCTTCTGTCTCTGTGGATTTGCTTATTTTGGACAATTCATATAAATGGAATCATACAATGGTGGAATCACACGTGTGGTCTTTTGTGACTGGCTTCTTTCACTTAGCATAATGCTTTGAGGTTCATCCATGTTGTAGCATGTGTCAGCACTTTATATGGCCAAGTAATATTCCATTGTGTGTCTATGCCACCTCTTATTAATCTCTTCGTAAGTTGATGGACATTTGGGTTATTACCACTTTTGGGATATTACTAATGATGCTGTAAATAATCGTATTTTAATTTGTCAAATATTTGCTAAGTGCATGCTCTGTGCCAGTCATTGCCTAGGGGTTTAGGATTGACAAGGATAAAACTGGGTCCCTGCCTTTAAGGAGCTCAGCCTGGCAGAGGAAATTCCCACGTGTACAACTCTCCACTGCCGTAGTAGAGGTCGGATGAGATGCTATTATGGGAGGGGTCTGTTTTATCCAGTGGGGCCCAGAAGGCTACAGAGAGGATACGGCCTTTCAAGGTGGGCCTGAGGGTGGGTTCTTCAGGTTGGCTCAGGAGCGTCCTGGATAGAAGGAATGGAATGAGCCAAAGTATGGCAGTGTGCAAGAACGTCAGACATCAGCAGATGAGGAAACGGCTTGCCACTGCGGACTTCATGGAGAGGAGAGGCTAGAAATGAATTGGGGCCAGTTCCAAGTGGGGAGGTCGGTTCATATTCATGGTAAACAAAGATTCCGACGTAGAAGCTGTTGAAGGTATATGGCTCCCTAGAACAGAGTCTTTTGATCCGGTTCCCTTTTCACTGATTGATGTAGTGTGCTTCTCTTATGTATTTTTAGGTGACCAACACTCAGATATTCCAGCTTCAGTTTCACACTGGATTCATACCACTGGACACAACAGTTTTAAAGTTCACCAAGTGAGTGCTGCTTGGGCGGGAACCCTTTTCGGTCCCAGCAGCTGTGAAATGCTGGGGTCAGTGCCCGAGGCTCCTTCTGCTGTGCTGCAGCATCCCCAGGCCTGCTCTGCGGGACTTTGAGCGTACCTAGCAACACACGGAGGCTGGTCGCCCTTTACAACTTTCAGTTGCGAACAAATGAGCATAAATGGATCAGACTTCCAACAGAAAGGGCTAAAATTCCATATGAGGGACCAGGAGAGAACAAAGAGGGCACAGAGGATCAATACCGTGATCCTTTGCATCTGTGTGTCCCTTTGTGTTTTTCAATGAGGGAGGCAGTGTGATATGAGCAGTGACCCAGAGAATGGATGCCAGGACAGAGCAGTGAAGCAGGGTCCTGGGGACCCCTCTGCACCAGACAGTAGCCCTTAGTTGCTATATTCTAGTGTGAACTCGTGGTGAGGGGGCTGAAGCTGGGTGATAGGTGGAGTTACTGAGGCCAGACGTTCGAAAGCTTGGGGTGGCAGCTGTGGGCCTGTTTCACTATTTCAGCACTGACTTGGCCATGCCGGTGCACACTGGCTGGATGTGTCAGCCCTGCTTTCTAGAATGCTTTCATGTGCAGTAGAATCCAAATTCTTGAGTAGGCATTATTCTCCTATTCTCTCTAGAGGAGCAAGCAGAGGCTCAGAGAAGTAGAGTAAGTTTTCTCTTGAATGGTTGCCTTTTCCCTAGAAATGAGTCTCAGAGTTAACCTAAGAGTTAGCCCACGGTGGTTTCTGTGCTGAACATCACACTGGTTCCACTGTTTTCACTGATCTTGTTCTTCTAAATCCCTATGTAGGCCTGAGTTGGATGCATGTGATGTACCGGAAAAATATCCTCAGCTCTTCCAGGTGACTCTGGATGTGGAACTGCAGCCCCACGACAAGGTGGTAGACTTAACTCCACCGTGGGAACATTACTGCACAAAAGACGTCAATCCCAGCATCCTCTTCTCTTCTCACAAGGAGCAGCAAGACACTCTGGTCTTAGGAGGTAGGAGTCCTCCTGGTGGTTTGTGTTCAGGACGAAGCCTCTGTGTTGTTCATCACTGGGCTTAGTTCCTGTGGTTCCTTGACGTTGCCTGGCCTTTTGTCTTCCAGGACAGGCTCCAATCGATATCCCGCCAGACAACCCCAGGCATTTTGGGCAAGGTGGCTTCTTTTCCTCTCTCTGCTGGCAAGGTACTTCCAAGCATTTCTTCCAGTTACGTGGGTCTTCTGTGAAGATGGTCAGTCCTGGAAGCAGCCTAGAGTAGAGCAGCACTTAGAAGTCGTCCAGAGGCCTCCTTAGCTCACACTCTCTCTGCTCACTCCTTTTTCAATTCAGGCAGCTTCCCTACTTTCAACTCCATCAATGCTCTGGACTGGTGCAAAACGCCATTTTAAGCTGAATTCCACCTTTTCTCTTTACGCTGTGCTTTGGGTCACATCTTTTTTGGATTTAGGAATAAACATGATACTTTCTAGGATCTCCCTTTACACTGCTGACACTCAAATTGATAAGGGACTCTATCTTCTGCCTTTAAATATTCCAAAAATATACAATCTGGCATTTCCCCAGGGGAGCTCTGACCACTAGCCGGGTAGAGCTGAGCTTCCCCTGGTGCAGGAAAGGCAGACACTTTGCCTGTGTGTCTCTGCTACTTGCTTTATCATTCGTGGCAGAAATCATGCTCAATCATTTCCTTTTCTGCCAAACCTGGAGATGTTTTCAGAATCTTTCCCAATATAACACTTCCGACTGCTCCCATCGGTAGGCTGCCATTGGCACCTTATCGGTGCCCATTTGCCGTCCTTGTTGAGTTTGCCGAGGTTAACCACAGGTTCCACAGTTCAGGCTGACCGCGGGGTGTAATAGTAAGGACTTTCCCTGGAAAGGGGTGGGAAACTGGCTTTGGCGATGGTCTATTTAAAATTCTCTCGATTGACTTTCCTCTGCTGTGGCAGCATAAGACAGGATTCCCATTGCTTACACAGAGTTTTCAGTATTTGGTTACAAACTTGTTCATAATTCGTTTGAATTGGAAGGCTTACTTTCAGAATTTTCTACTGAGAAATTGGGCCAATTAAGATAAAAAAATTGGAAAGCCCAGGAAATCTGGGTAGCAGAGAGATTTCCCAGGCTCCTCTTGGTTGCCCCTTACTGTCATCTTCCTCACATGAGGGCTTTTCATAAACTTCACTGTCACCTCTCCATGCTGCTTTAGCAAGTAACTTAGAAATCTTTCCTGTTAGGCTAGGAAATAGGTTTTAGCACAAATGCACCATCTCTTCTCTGACCCTCACAGAGCCAATGTGTTTAGGGATGCAGAATTAGGATTTTAGGCAGGCAACGTGGTGCATAAACTGCACATTACTCGGCCTTCCCAGTGGCATCTCAGACAACAACTCGTAGTCAAATGTCAATGTGTTTCTGCAGTGAAACATGTAAATAATCGCCCTGAATGAGATAAATGAAGACTAGAAATACTTTCACGTCAGTTCCCGTCAGATTCTTCCACCAACTGAGTTTGCGCCAAACTTAGGGAAATCTTTCCCTTTTCATAGCTTTTTGCATTTCAGAACTGGGGATGAGGGGTGTGGATCTGTGCTCGAGTTGGAAGGTGGATCTATCTGACATTAAATAACAAAGTTCTGTAGGAGGATCTGTCTCCAGGAGGGCCTGGAAGGTCACTGCCAGCCTCTCCGTTCCTTCCCCAGGAGACGCCTTTCCTGTGCCCATCTTACACTGAAATAGCTCCTTTAGGTTGGTGCAAGGACCATCCATGGCAGAGCCCCTCCCTCTGTTCACTTCTGCTCCAGACTGTGGGAGAAAGGCCTTGCTTTTAGCTGTGGGCCACATGGAGAAGGAAAATGGCAGTTAGAGAATCAGCAAAGGACTCCGAGATTTTTTTTTTCCAAAGCTCCTAGCATGGTGCTTGGAAGATGACGATAATAATAGTAATAATCATAATAAGAGCCACTGAAGTACTACTTACTATAGATCTGAGAGCTTTCTGTAGACCACCTCATGTAATTTTCACGGCAGGCATGTACGTTAGGTACTATTTTTGCCCTCATTTTTCTGAGGAGGAAACCAAGACCAGAGATGTGTAGTAACTTTCTCAGTGTCACAAAGCCCGTAAGCAGTGGAGCAGGGATTCAAACCCAGGCTGTCTGACTCGCAAGTTCTCGCTCTTCACCTCTGTGCGGTACTGCCTCTCCAAGGCTCAACGAACGGGAATTGAATGCAATGGGCAATACATCAAATTTCCCATTGGTAAGGGTCTGAAAGCATTATTTGCTCAGAGGCTCTTTCTCTCTTTCTGGGGTTACGTATATGTATTTTAACAAAAACCCATAAAGCCGTGGCCAGTAACTAACTGTTTATCGGCATACCGGCCTTCCCTAGATCAGAAATCGGAGAAATCATTCTGCGAGGAGGACCACGCTGCCCTGGTGAATCAGGAGAGCGAGCAGTCAGACGATGAACTTCTGACCCTTTCCAGTCCACACGGCAATGCCAATGGCGACAAACATCATGGAGCCAAGAAACCCAGCAAAAAGCAGCAGGAGCCGGCTGCCCCTCCACCCGCTGAGGACGTGGACCTTCTGGGCCTAGAAGGGGCTGCAGTGAGTAAGAACTTCTCGCCACCGGCGGCTCCTCCCTCCAATTCTGAACTGCTGAGCGACCTGTTTGGGGGTGGAGGTGCGGCCGGCCCTGCCCAGGCTGGACAGTCAGGGGTGGAAGACGTGTTTCACCCAAGTGGACCTGCATCCACTCAGTCAACGCCACGCCGGTCTGCCGCCTCCGCCTCCGCGTCTCCAACGCTAAGAGTAGGAGAAGGTAATTTCTTCCCTGTTGCACGGTACCTCTCAGTTTTGAATGATGACCATCCAGCCAAGGAAGTAGCATCAAACTTTCCCATTAAGCTAGACTTTTCTTGTCTCCCTAAAAGTCCCCTGGAGAGGTCTCTATCTCCATTTAAGTGGGGTAACATGAGACGAAATAGAAATACTGTCTGTTTTGGTGGGACCAGTCTAAGAGTGAATATTTGAGCTCCTCATTCTTATTTTCGTTCTTGTTTCAGGGCTTCAATCCCTGAGCTGCTTTAGTTACGTCTGCTTGGAGATGTATTATTAGTAATAACAGCTGATATTTGTGGGCTACTTAACCATTTGCCAAACTTGGAAGTTAACACTAAAAATGGATTCAGTTCTTATAAAAACCTGGTCAAAAGGTGCTATTATTATCCCTGTTTTGGAGTTGAGGAAATAGAGCTTTAGAGTCAAATTAGTAGCATATGTTTATACAGCTAGTAATCGATGGGGCCAGGGTCCAAAACAAGGCCATTTGACTCCAGAGCCTTCCTTCAGTTTTCCTGTGATGGCTTCCTGGAATTGTAGTTTTCTGAATAACTTTGGCTGTGCAGAGAAGTGCTTGGTTCCTTCAAGATAGATTAAAGGGACTTACGCCAACAGCACAGCTGCTGAAACAGAGCGCTTGGTGCCGGGGAAGGAGTTTGAGCCCCATGTGGCTCAGTCAGCGTCACTCTGCTCATTGCTACAGACTCAACTGGTATCCACAATTTTTTGACATTTGCAAGCCAGTGTAGCTGGGTAGGCAGAGGTCTGTTGTCGCTTCTGAAGAACCAGCTGCCCCTTGTTACCGTCCCTGTTAACCAAGATGGCGTCACATTAGGAAGAGTAAAGAGACATGTCTCAACTCCCCAGGCGTATGGTAACCTGTAGGAAATTTCTTCCATAAGCTCATCCTTCACTTCTCAGAAGGCTTTGGGCTGGTCTGGATTTGTGGTGGTTCAGCTGGAGGCATTCTTTATGAGTGAGTCTCAGAATCATGGGATGTTGATGCTGAGGCTCAAGCTTCTGCATTGGTTATTGATGGAGTCAGGGTGTGAGGCCAGGTGTCCTGAATCACAGGCTCTTTCCTCCATACTTCACTTCCTTCCATCCAGTTCTTACTCTCCAAAGCGAATGAAAGCTCTGTCAGGAAAAACATCCACAAGATCCAAGATAGCATGGTACTTGATGGTCACATTTTAAGACCATGCACCTTATGTGACTTTTGATGATTTAATTCATGAGTCCCATGCAGATAGTTGTGTTCCAGTGTCAGAGTGAGAAGGGACCTTTGAGACATTAGTTAAATCTATCCCTCAGGTTATAGACAATGAAACGGGGGCCTAGATATATTGATGCACTTGTCCAAGGACACAGAGCTGATTAGTGGCAAACCCAGATCCAGAACTCAAGTATTCTGTCCCCCAAGAGGGGGCAGAAAGAACATGGATTCCAGAGTTAAAGGCTTGAATTTCAATGCCCGAACCGACACTTAACTATCTGAGTAGGCTTGTTAAAAAACCTTCACCTTCTTAGTTGCAAATGGGATAATACTTACCTATCTATGAGCACTTGTTGTAAAGACTAGATTTTGAGCTCTAGATTTTGGGAAGTTCACTTTTAGCTATTGGAGGGTGCCTGTAATTTAATGTAACTTGATATTACAAGTGTGCCAAGTAATAGTATAAAGATTTTAGCATCTTCCATTAGTTGATTTCAAACTTAGATTTAGAGAGAGAAACCTAGTGTCCTCTTCTAATTACTCTGTAGATGTTGGTATTCTCACGTTATAGAAGGGATAAAGTGGTGTGAGCATTAGAGGGACTAAGGAACATGCACTGTGTAGCAGAGAGCCTGACAAATAGTTGATACCATCGCTCCTACACAAGGCTGACCCGCCGCCCAGCAGGTATTGGGAGAGCGTGACGTCAGTGAAGTCCCGGCTGAACACGTATTAAACCATATATCCTACCTGGGTTTTGAGTTGGATTTATTCATTACCTTGTTTGATTCTAGTTGTCTATTCCTAGAATAGGTCAATCCCGCTCCAGGATGCGATTGGCACTGTAGCCTGATACTTACAGATTAGGAGGGAGCCAAAGGGAATTTTGTCCCTCTCCAATAATGGGAAATTAAAGGCAGCTCGTATACGTGCAGCTCTGCGTGGTTTTCATCCCACTCAGCTCACGCCTGTGAGGAGTGTAAGATGCCTTTGGGAAATGCCTGGAATTTGGAGTCGGAAAGACTTGGGCGTGAATTCCAGCCCCCTGTTATTTACTTGGTATTGGGCAAGAAACTTGGCTTTCTGAACCTTAGTTTTATTGTCAATAGAAAGAAGATGATTCATTTCTGTCTGACAGGGAGACGTCGAGGACCAGCTGAGATATTGTTTATGAAAGGCAATGTGAACATTAAGAAATGATACGATATTAGTGTTGGTGCCTGGTTGCTGGAAACCTCAGCTCCCCACTTCACTCTAGTCTTCTTAGTTCATTCAAAAACTTTTCTCACTTCACCAAATCTGCGTCTGGTTTCTAGCGAGTTGTCGAGAGGCGGTGTTTGGGAAACAACGTTTGAATTCCATAGGACATAAGACATGAAGAGAGTTCAGTTTTTGTCACACTCCTTTTCTTCTCTTTTTAGCTTTCAAGTGAGCTAGAGACTACTAACTTCACAAAACAAAACTAAATAAAACCTGGCCAGTGTTTGCCTTAACATAAACTGAGCCCTTGCCTGTATGTGTCCACTAATTCATTCAACGTGAACACAGTTCATTCACTGAGCACTCCTATGGTCCAGGCATGGTTTTGCCACTCACTGATTCATCTGTGTTGACCTTGACTTATTTCATGGTATTAAGATGCTCAAAGCCCCAAGGGGCCCTTATTTATAGTATTTATGATTCATCCACCAGTTAAATCCAGAGTCCTCCTTTGTCCACAAAGAAGGAACTATTTGTGTGTGGTCAGAAATCCTCAGGATCCACTGTTAGCCCTGGAGGAAGTTTTGAGAATAGGACGGGCCTGTGGAGCAGCCCAGAGGCAGGCATCGTCCCGACTTTTCAAGTATTTGGGCTAGGGCCTGGCAGTTGTGGTGGCTCTTCAATGTTTATGGAATAAATGACCTCATAGGACAAAGAAACACATTTTTCCTGTTCTTTTCTAGGTGCCACCTTTGACCCTTTTGGAGCGCCTTCCAAATCATCAGGTCAAGATTTGCTGGGTTCTTTTCTGAACACATCCGCTGCTTCCAGTGACCCCTTTCTTCAGCCTACGAGAAGCCCCTCACCTACAGTGCATGGTAGAGTATTTTACGTTGTGTTCAGTGGAACATAGTTTTCCCCAAGACAGCAGTAGCTGCTCAGAGATAAAAGCATCCTGTAGATGTTTTAGGGGGTAAAAAGCTGCATGGTACATCTCTCTTTTGGAAATTAACAATTCACCTTTGCATATTAAAAGCTCTGGGATGTCTCACAGGAAAGATGCCTGCTTAACTTTGTTTATTCAGCTTTCCTAAACCTTATTTGACTGTGGAATTCTGTTTTGCATTAGAGCTACATGCACAGAATTGTAAGGCACCATTGATTGTAGGATGTATCTTTATTTTATGTGCTAAGAAGAAAGAAAAAAAAGGCTACCACTTTTCATTGATTGGAAGATGCATCTTATTGGAGAAATCTTTGAAATATGGAAAAATATGAATCTTAATAAAATGTGATATGAGCATACTACAAAATTAGTATTCTGCAGAACAAAACTTAGAACATAACACCCTGCTATATTAGATCTCTTTTGTCTAATACGAAGCCAGTAGCCACATGTGGCTGTTGAGCACTTGAATTGTGGCTAGTCTGATTTGAAGTGTGCTCTACGTATTTTAACACTTAATACAAAACAAGAATGTAAAGTATCTCATTAATATTTTTCATATTCTGTTTTTTGTTTTTGCTGAGGAAGATTTGCCCTGAGCTAACATCTGTTGCCAATCTTCCTTTTTTTGCTTGAAGAAGATTAGTCCTGAGCTAACATCTGTTGCCAATCTTCCTTTTTTTGCTTGAAGAAGATTAGTCCTGAGCTAACATCTGTGCCAGTCTTCCTCTATTTTTTTTTCTGTATGTGGGTCATTGCCACAGCATGACTGACGAATGGTGTAGGTCTGCACCCAGGGTCTGAATCCGCGAACCTGGGCCACTGAAGTGGAGCATGCCAAACTTAACCACCACACCACAGGGCTGGCCCCTGATTCTTAAGATAATATTTTGAATACATTGGATTAAATAAAATACATTATTAAAATTAATTTCATCAGTACCTTTTTACCTTTTTTAATGTGACTCCTAGAAAATTTTAAACTACATATGTGGCCCACATTATATTTCTATGTTAGAGACTTAGGTTTTGTGGAAAGAATAGGAATCACATCTGTTTGTAAGTGCAAAAGGCTATCATTTGGGGGCTGGCCCCGTGACCACGTGGTTAAGTTTGTATGCTCCACTTCAGTGGCCCAAGTTTTGCTGGTTTGGATCCTGGGCACGGACATGGCACCACTCATCAAGCCACGCTGAGGTGGTGTCCCACATGCCACAACCAGAAGGACCTACAGCTAGAATATACAACTATGGGGATTTGGGGAGAAGAAAAAGAAAAAAAAAAAGAGGTTGGCAACAGATGTTAGCTCAGGTGCCAATCTTTAAAAAAGGCTATCATTTAGGTAACACTGATCAAAACTGGAGCTTTTTCGGGAAGGACGAATGGCCCTGAGCTGATGAATTGTAGTACATTCCTGACGTTGATGACTATCGAACATTGTTAGCCCCAGTCTACACGGCCACCTGCCGTTGAAGGCACCCTGAGCTTGCCTGGAGAGCACGGTCCCATTGTTAGCTTGACTTCATGGAAGCCATGCAAATACGAAAGGAAGACGAGGTGGGCAACACTGGTCCAACTGTAATGAATAAAAGTGAGAAATCAGTCCAGGAAGAACCATGATGGGTGATTTCTAATTGGTCTTAAATTGCACACTATTTGAAGTGCGTCCACAGGACAACATACAGGAAAGTCACCTCTCGCTCTTGAGTAGTGCCCACTGAAGAGAACCTCCTGATTGGAAGTTGGTTACCCTTGGAGGAAAAGGTGCAAGGAGAGGTTAAAACTGTTGTTTTTGCTCACTTATGTGAAATGTAAGTCATGTCATTGCTCTGCTCAAAATGGCTCCCTATTTGACTTAGCACGGAAGCCAAAGTCCTCGAAATGGCCTCAGTAGGCCCTGTGCACTAGCCCCCCAGTGCCTGTGACCTCATTTCCTATTCCCTCCCCCCTGCTCTCTCCACGCCCACCGTACTGGCCTCTTTCTTGTTACGCTGGCTGTGCCTGCTTCCCCAGACATGGGCATGGCTAACTCCTTCACTTCCTTTGAATCTTTGCTCCAATGTCACCTCTCAGTGGGGTCTCTCAATGGGGACCACTCCTTTTCAAATCACAACTCAGCCCCCTGCCCTCACTCTGCATTTTCCTTTCCATTGTACTTACCAACTTCCAATACTTCTGTGTTGTTTGTTTTTTGTTGTGCGTCTCTCCCTACTGGAACGTGAATTCCACAAAGGCAGAGGTCTTTGTTTTGTTCATTAATGCTTCCCAAGTGCCTGGAAGACATACTGGCACACAGTAGGCACTGTCTGTCTATTTTTTCTGTCTAATATGTAAATACAAAATGAATTAACTCATTTTCTCCTAAGTCTCTTTGTTGCATAGTGATTGCGTTTATAAGGTCCCACGTTTTCCTGGCTTGAATACTTTGAGTTTAATATTTTCATGAGTGCTACCTTTTATGTCACTTAGGTATGGATGTTCAGGCTTCAGCATGGCCGTTCTGGGTCTGGTTCTCTGCTTCTTGTGAGCTGGTTAGAACATGTTGTTTGTCACCCAGTTTAGGCTGGCTAGCACTCCTTTGTTTTGTGGGCACACTTCTTATTTTGGTCTATGTCATGCCAGTGAGTGAAAAGAGTTTTCCACTCTGCTTGCTGGGAGAGCAGTTATCATTGCACTGCTGGAGGATCAGTGCCTCATCTTCATGTGGGAGGACCTAGGTGAGATTCAGAGGTTAGACTAGGGGGTCAGATTGCCCACCTCCAAGTCCTCGGGGCACTTCCCCCAGATTGCCACAGGGCGCCCCCAATCTCTTCCGAAAATCAAGAAATACTGCCTTTGAGTTCAACAAATATTTATCGAACATCTACTGTGAAGGAAATAATTACTTGGAACATGGTGTTGGAAGAACTAGGGAACAACCATAAGAAAAGGCAAAATAGAGATTAAAATATCAGGTAATTACTTTTTCATTTGTATATTCCTCTCTCTCCAACAGATGCTAAGTTTCTTGAGGACAGGCAGTGTGTCTTAGGTCTCTGTTCCCTGGTGCGCCTTGCACGTGACAGGTGGTCATAAGGATTTGTGGGTTCGATTAGTAATAAAGTTGGAGATCTGACACCCAGTTCTACATCTTACTTGGATGTCAGACTAAGATCAGAGTTAAAGGAAATCAGGCAGCAAATGTTAGCAAAATGGTCCAATTTCCACCTCAGTTTTGATGGATTACGGTGGAAGAAGAGGAACAGGAAAGAAATAACTGTTATTGCTGATAATGGCATGTTCTTCTTAACTTAATGATGGGAAGGTACAGGCTGTCTTGGTTTGTACTCAGCAAACAAAGCAGGTAAACATAGGCTTGGTAGTGCTAATCTTGGTGACTTGATTGTTCTTTTGGTGGTGGTGGTGGGGTGTGTGTGTGTGGTGTGTCTGTTTTAAATCCCACTTGCAATGTTAGTTTAGTATTTACATTTTACTCACTGATCTTGTGGACAGAACCTAGAGGTGCTCTAGAAAGAAATTTGTTCTTATGGCATCATGTTTCTTATTTGGATCTCATAGATGCAGAAAAAACTTACTCTATCACTGTGTACTCCTCTGACAATCTGATTCTCTTTAGCTGAATGTTTCTTTTAAATTCTACATTTGGAACTTTGAGAGAGGTCAGAATGACCTATTTTAAAGCTGCAATGAGTTTGTTTTGAGTGACAATAGACACATCTCTGACACCAGCACGGTGGGTGGTATAGAGTCAGTGCCCAGTACAGGTTCTGAATGACTCATCATTCTCCATTCACGTCACAGCAGGGGAGGAAACAAAATTTCAGTTCTAAGTTGATCATTCCTCTCATACACTTGATAATGCCAACCTAAGGTGAACTGAATTTAAGTTTCTTTTCACCTTTTCTTATTCTCCACTGACTTTGTGTTAAGTGTAGAGATGGGACACACAAAGATGAATAAGATAGTTCTTGCCTTCAGGGAACTCACAGTTTAGCAGAGATACACATATGCACAGTTATAATTCACAGTGTGTGGCTATTGAGGTCAAAGAAAGGACAGCTAAAGAAGGCACAGAGACAAACAGTATATGGCTTCCTCCAGCCCTCATGTAAGTACTAACCATAGGTGGAGGCACAAACATCAATGTTGCAGAGGTGGCGAGAGCGCAGAGGGAGAGACGAATCAGTTGGGACCTTGGTAGGCCATGCAGGCTTCAGGGAAGGGATGGCACATTCCTGGGTGATCTCAGAAAATTGGGCTCTGAGCTCTCTTGTCCTGATTCTTTTTCTTCTCCCCATTTGCAGCTTCCAGTACACCTGCTGTGAACATTCAGCCAGATGTTTCGGGAGGTTGGGACTGGCATACTAAACCAGGTAAAGGTCGGCAGGTTAATTTTGTGCACCTTTAACCAACTGGTAAAGCATAGCCTTCACCCAAGATGAAGTGAGTCCTTACAGAGGATTACAGCCCACCTGCGGAATTTCCTAAAGACCCACATTCTGGCGGAGCTTTCCACATTGCCCACGATGACATATTATATGTTATTTAACTTTTCTAAGTCTCATTTGCTAATCTGATGTCTTGACAATAGAATTAGACACATCTGGGTATATATCTCAGTCAATCACTTAGAATCTCTCGGATTTTTTACACGTCTAAACATCAGTTTTTTATCCGTAAAGTGGGGTTCATACTTCTTTTTTTTTTTTTTTATTAGTTTTTTTTTTGTTTTTTGTTTTTTTTTAAAGATTTTATTTTTTCCTTTTTCTCCCCAAAGCCCCCCGGTACATAGTTTTATATTCTTTGTTGTGGGTCCTTCTAGTTGTGTCATGTGGGACGCTGCCTCAGCGTGGTTTGATGAGCAGTGCCATGTCCGTGCCCAGGATTCGAACCAACGAAACGCTGGGCCGCCTACAGCGGAGCGCACAGACTTAACCACTCGGCCACGGGGCCAGCCCCTGGGGTTCATACTTCTTACCCCACACAATTGTATAAGTTTAAGTGAAGTAACTTATATGAAAATTTCTGGCATAGAGTAGGTGCTGGATAATCTGAATACTCTTCTTTCTTCACAGAGCACTTGTTCAGGGCTGGATTTCTGTGTGATAAATAAGCTCTCTTCCTTGTGGCTAGTATGGTATTTCTTGAGAGCCATCTTGTGTGATGGTGTTCCCAATGCTGTGCAAGTTACACACACACACACACACACACACACACACACAGTGTGCTTATCACAGCAACTTTCTGGAGCAGTAGTTGTTTCCTTTTTTAACAAGTGAGAAATTGTTGAAGCTCGATTTGCCCAAGGTCACTGAGCCAGGAAGTAGCTGAGCCCGAATTCAGATCCAGGCCTGACTCCAAATCCTAGAGGAAAGAATGGAGTCAGGTGACATGAGAGGTGAACACCAGACGTGATAGTTCATATGTGTCCAGGAAACGACATATGCCTTCTCAGTTCCCTGCCCCTGCTCCAGGCCACTATTCACTTGAGTCAGAGAAATAAGATGTAGCAACTTTTAACGTATTTCCCGATTTGCCCTCAGAGACAAGATGAGCAGTAGCTCTGGATTTCTGAGTTTCGGAATTCAGCCTTGGACCACTAACTCGTTTTCAATGATCTTCTTTCCTTTTCAGGAGGTTTTGGGATGGGAAGCAAGTCAGCTGCCACCAGCCCAACGGGGTCCTCGCATGGCACTCCCACCCATCAGAGCAAACCCCAGACTCTGGATCCTTTTGCTGACCTTGGGACATTAGGTACAAACTTAGTAGGTTAAGACATAAACAACATTTGCTTATGGGGTACAAAACCTCCAATCTAAATCTTTGGTGTGAATGAGCAAGTCTTGTTACCTGGGACCTAAAATCATGTGTATTCTTTTTTTTTTTTTTTTTCCTTTTTCTCCCCAAAGCCCCCCGGTACATAGTTGTATATCCTTCGTTGTGGGTCCTTCTAGTTGTGGCATGTGGGACGCTGCCTCAGCGTGGTTTGATGAGCAGTGCCGTGTCCGCGCCCAGGATTCGAACCAACGAAACACTGGGCCGCCTGCAGCGGAGCGCGCGAACTTAACCACTCGGCCACGGGGCCAGCCCCCTAAAATCATGTGTATTCTTAAGCTATGTTATAAAACCTCACATCGGCTTTAAAGGAATGGAAACAGACTTCAAATATCGGGTTGGAAATAACCCCAATCAATCCGTTTCTCTGATGCCTAATTTTGGATTAGCGTAAATAAAGTTAGAACTTCCAGAACAACAGAGTTCGGCTGCAGCAAAGGCAACGCAGGTGTGGGGGAATGAGGCTGGTCAGACAGATGTGTGCCACGTGGGGCCAGCCGTGCATGGGTCTCCCTGGCATGTCACCAGGGAGATCCTCACATGAATCCCTCTTCCCTGCCCTGTCCGGCACTCTCTGGTCAGTTTGTAAAATTCCATACAGAAAATAGACTTTCTGTAGTGTATTTCCAAAGTGTTTTTCATCATATGTTGGTCATTGTTACAGGATAAGTGTTCCATGAGCAAGGAATTTTGGAAACACTGGGTTCAGTGCACTTTGCTGCAAAAACTTCTGAGAATCAGTGTTCGTGGTGATGCTCCCCAAAAGGGATGTAGTATGCAGGGTTCTCAAACTGCTTTACCAAGGAACCCCTTTTCAAGGAGTAGTTCAAGGACTAGCACTTCTTAAACTCTTCTTCCTCTTTTTTCCTCCCTCCTCTGGGCAGTGCAGAGTTGTTAAAGAAGGGTGGGCTAGCCCTGCCACAAAGTTTGGCATCGGCCATGTAGGTAGTTTAGGTTCTCAGAAAGCCCTCCCGAGGCATTTGGAGCAGGGAATGAGAGCATGGCTACTGTTAATAGTGTCAGAATCTTGACCTTCCATTGTATAATCTTTAGACATTTTTTTCTTTTAAGAACTCTCGAGTTTTTTCCTGTTCTTTGTATCTTTCTTTCTTTTTTTTGGTGAGGAAGATTTGCCCTGAGCTAACATCTGTTGCCAATCTTCCTCTATTTTTTTTTTTTTGGCTTGAGGAAGATTAGCTCTGAGCTAACATCTGTGCCAATATTCCTCTATTTTGTATGTGGGAGGCCTCTACAGCATGGCTGATGAATGGAGTAGGTCCGTGCTTGGGATGCGAACCCGAGAACCCAGGCCGCTGAAGCAGAGTGCCCAGAACTTTAACCACTTGGCCATGGGGCCAGTCCCCCATTCTTTGTATCTTAATGTAAGCTTCAAATTTTAAAATAATAGCATCAGTTGAAATTCTGCTTCAAATAAAATCTCATTCATTGTTCATTTTTTATCCATTTATTCTTTCCACAACTATTTACTAAATGCCTTCTATGTGCGAACTGTTTTGATAAAAAACAACCAACCACCCAAACAAAACCAAAACAAAATTCCTGCCTCCCTAAAGCTTATGTTCTAGAGGGAAAAACAAATAGTAAACGAATAAATATATAATATGCTGTCAAATAGTAAAAACAACAATCACTGTTTCCTGGAGGTTTCCCTGTGTGTCGGGGACTATTTTAGGTGCTTTACAGATATCGTTTCATTCACTCCTCCCAATAATCTTTTGAAGTAGGGACTCTTATAACCCTCATTGTGCAGATGAGGTAAACTGGGGCACAAAATGTTAGACACGCCCCAGTCACAGGTTTCAACACTGCGAAGGCTGGCTCTGGAGCTTGCACACGTCACTCTGTGCAGATGCTGTGGAAGACCAGGCAGAGAAGTGATGGTGAGCGATGGGGGTGGGGGTGTTGTTGTAGAGAGCAAGTGGTCAGGAAGGCCTCTCTGAAGAGCTGGCCTTTAGAGGAAGTTCTTTTTTAAAATCCAGCGTCACATCTGGCACTTAGTTGTCCTGTCCTTTTAGTCACTTTAATCTGGAACCATTTTTAGCCTTTCTTTGCCTTTCATGACATTGATACTTGACGGGTACAGGCCAGTTTAAAATGTCTCCATTTGTTAATTTTGATCACTTGATTAAGGTGATGTCTGCCAGTTTTCTTCATTGTAAAGTTACCATTTTTCCCCTTTGTAATTAATGAGTAATCTAGGGGAGAGAATTTGAGACTATCCTATTTGAGAATATCCTGTTCTTCATCTGACTTTTCCCTGCTGGGTTTAGCATTCATTAATGATTCCTTCCTGAAACAGTCATTACTATGATATTTGCAAAATTGTGATTTTTCTGATTCTGTCCTGCTTTCTACGTATATTAATTGGCATTTCACTATAAGGAAGAATCTCTTCTCTCTCTCTCATCAGAGTGGACTAATGGATTTTACTTTTGATTCAGTGGGTTATCATCCATTACTGTCGTTATTTCCTTTAATGTTCATGTTGTCCTAGATTTTTAAAAATTTTTTAAATTTTTTCTTTTTGGTAAGGAAGATAGTCCCTGAGCTAACACCTGTGCCAGGCTTCCTCTATTTTGTATGTGGGACGCCACCACAGCATGGCTTGATGAGTGGTGTGTAGGTCTGCTCTCAGGATCTGAACCAGCAAACCCAGGGCCAGTGAAGTGGAGTGTGCAAACCCAACCACTAAGCCACCAGGCCAGCCTCTTAGATTTGGCTTTTGAAAGCCCCTTTGTTCTGACTTCTATGCCCTTTTCACTTGATTCCATCATGTTTTGAGAACTTTATTTATGGCACAAGATGTTCTTGGCTTGTCTTAAAATGTTTACACCCCAGTCCTGGAATCAGTCATTGTCCGAGGAATCCTCATTCCTTTCTATGGGGAATGAAACCAAAATCTGTGCATTGTGATCATTGGTACTGGGGTGGGTGCCACTGCTCTACCTTTCAGGAGCTAGAGATGGGAGATGAGTGGGTGTAAATATCTATAATTCCATCCAGTACCGCAGGGTTCTTCCTTGCCTTCCACTATTTTGTACGTGTATCTTCTATTTCCCTGGATCCCAACAGCATTAATAGACAACAAATATACTTTCAGAATAGCTACACTTGTATCACTACAACAGCAAATCTAGGTGGAATTCAAGAGTCCTTTGTCATTTTTGAAATGCAGTCATTCTTAAAACTGCTGGGAAAACTGGTTTTCTAAATTTCCCCGTTTTTCAAGTCACATAACTTAGGAGAGTTAAGTGACTTTCCTAAAGCCACACAGTGAAGGTGTATGAGCAGGAGCTGCAGCCTAAAGTGTTTGACTCCTAGGCAGTTGCTTTAGTTTAATTTGTAAATTAAACTTCCAGATTGCATAGCTGCAATTCAGCAAAGACAAACGACAGCATCCTTCTCCGTAAGGCATTTTCACGTTGAACAACCCTGGTACCAACAGCAGCGTCCACGATACACTAGTTCCTCCCACCGACACTCTGACTTAATTGGTCTGGCTGCGGCTTGAGCACAGGGAGTTTAAAAGCTTCTCAGGTGTTGCTAGTGCACAGTCAAGGTCGACAGCCGCTGCTTTAGCTTTTAAGGAGGATGGCAGTGGCCTCTGGGTTTTGCTACTGCTTTGTATTTCTGTCAGTTCTCTGCTTCAGTGGCATTAAAAATTAGAATTGCTGAAAATGGGTGGAAAATATTCTGCAAGGGCAGACTTCAGAAAGTCCTGCAACGCTGATGAGCCCCTTGAGAGAAGGCTCAGCGTCTGCCTCTTCGCCACTGGGCCTACAGCCTGGCGTGTAGGAGACGTTCAACGGTGTTCCATCAATGAACGAATAAATGACAGTGCGATGGGAATATGGAAGGTTTTTAAAAATCCTTTAAGCTTTTCTCTATTGACTGAATTTTTAAATAATAAACATATGTATATTCAGAAGGAAGATAGTAAATATCCTTAAAGTGTAAAATGAAATCCCAGTGCAGAACGACTGCCCACCTTAGTGCATGCTGATGTGCTGTTGGCAGGAGGGCCCAGGGGCTCGTGAGAGAGGCTCCATGCTCTGAGTACGGCTGCCAGGGGGCGGAGCCAAGCTTCAGAGTACAAACAGGATCCCTCTTACCAAGTAGTTATTGAGCCTTATCTGTACCAGTGTGTTTTGAGCACGTGAACTTGCATTATTTTAGAGTATATAATGCATCTTAATTCGCTTCATTCAGGGTTAGTGGAGCACTTTCCTATGACCTGTGTCTTTATGGTCTACCTGTGATGTAGGCAGCGTTCTGATTTCACAGATGAGGACATTGAGGCTCAAGGAGGCCAAGCCTTTTGCCAATCTTGAGAAAAGCAAGGATTCTTTGTTGACTGTTTTCTGCTGTGTTCCCAGCACCTGGCACGGTGTCTGGCACATAGCAGATGCTCAAGAAACACTGATAGATGAATGAATAAGTGAACACATGCAGGATTGAATGAATGATAGAGCTGAGACTCCAGCTCAGATTGATTCCAAGTCCTGTGGCCGTAATGCAACAGCCCCAGTGGGAAGGGAAAGAGGGTCCCAGATGAGAATAGAAGGAATGTCTAAAGAAGGAAGAGACAGTAAATAGGGGTGAGTTGTAGTGAAAGGCTTAGCGATCTGGGGAGGAATTAGGGATTCTAGATACAACAAATGAGTATGACAGTTGGAGGTGGGGTGCCTGTGATCAAGTCCCAGCTCCCTTATCTACCTGTGTGATCATAAGCATGTCAGTAAACCTCTCTGAGCCTTGATTGCCTCATCTGTAAAGCGGGGCCAATGATACTACCTGCGTCCTGAGAGTGTTGCATAGATTGGAGGCAGTAACATACATGAACACCTTGTGTAAATTCTGAAGCACTCTAGAAATGTTACTTATTTTATTAGCACTGTTAGTTTGGGTTTGGTGCATGAAAGGGCCTCTGGAGACCATCACATTCAGTTTCTCCTTTTACCTTTTTAAACATAAGCCACAGCTGGGCTTCATATTTTGGAAACAGCCCAGAATGCCTGCAGTGAGTACTTACAAGTTAGATTATGAAATCAGGATTCTATTTAAATTCCTGGCATAAAGTAATATATATATATATATATATATATTTTTTTTTTTTTTTTTGAGGAAGATTAGCCCTGAGCTAACATCTGCTGCCAATCTTCCTGTTTTTGCTGAGGAAGACTGGCCCTGAGCTAACATCCATGCCCATCTTCCTCTACTTTATATGTGGGACGCCTGCCACAGCATGGCTTGATGAGCAGAGTGTAGGTCCACACCCGGGATCCAAACCAGCGAACCCTGGGCTGCTGAAGCGGAACGTGTGATCTTAACTGTTGCACCACTGGGCTAGCCCCAGTAATATCATTTTTTAAAGCTTGAGTAAGGTCCTTTGCTGTGTTCAGAGTTGTCAGTGTCGGCTGTGTTTACTCTCCTGCAAGGAGATGCACATAGTGTGAAACTGAAACCTACTTGTGAAATTTCAGAAACATCTTTGTTTATTCTTGGCTACTAACCATGCTTGTATTTATAGCAAGGATTAATCCCCATATCTGAAGTTGAAGTAGCACCTTAATGAGTGACCGTATTCTGTTTTAGTCCCTGTGTTTGCCATTTGAAACAGTATCTGCTTAGAAGGTGGGAAGGAGGGGAGGGATGGCACAGTGGCACTGGCTTGGACTCAAAGACTTGGAGTCAAGTCCCAGTTCTGCCACTTGCTGGCTGTGTGACTTGGGGAAAATCACTTAACTGCTCTGAGCTGCAGTTTGTTCATCTGAAGCAAAGATGAGGCTATTAAAACATACCTTAAAAAGGCACTAAATGTCACTAAATGTCCACTAAAGTCATTGCAAATGATCCCTTGGGACATAAAAGTCAGAGGCTACTCACACGAGCCTTGCCTGCCTTCTCCCTTTTTCTCTGTAGGTAGTTCTTCATTTGCCAGCAAACCCACCACACCAACTGGACTGGGCGGGGGGTTTCCACCTCTCAGCTCACCACAGAAAGCGTCTCCCCAGCCCTTGGGGGGCGGCTGGCAGCAGGGGGGCGGCTACAGCTGGCAGCAGACACCACCGTCAAGGCCGCAGCCCAGCATGGTGCACTCCTCTCCCCAGAACCGCCCCAACTACAACGTGAGCTTCTCAGCCGTGCCTGGGGGCCAGAACGAGCGTGGGAAGGGAGCAGCTCACTTGGGTAAGGACGAGTGTGCGGAGCCGGGCTGTGGGGGCCCCGTGTTGTCATAAATATGTGTACATAATATGTGTATGTGTATGTGAAGAAGAGACAGAAAGCGATTCCCATAGTTTCCGAGGCTGTCTTCCAGTTGGAGAGATGCAGCACGGTCCCCACCTCCAGCTCTGTGCCCGGAGCACCTGGGTTCACCATGCTCTTAACACTTGTCATGTTGTTCTGCGACTGCGGGCTCACTCGTCCGTCTCTCCATGCTGAGACCAGGCGGAGGGCAGCAGCTGGGTCTTTTCTACCACCTTATCCTTAGCACCCAGCATAGTGCTTGGCACGTAGTAGGCACTAAATGAAGATGGAATGGATGCGAGTGGAGGGGCAGGGGGCTCTGAAGCTGTTATCCCTTTGGAAGAGGGGTAGACAAGAAGGGTGGGAACCTCTCAAGCATTTGCTCTGGTCCCGACTGGAAGAGTGTCTTGGGCATTCGGTCTTCCTTATGCTCTGGTTGGTGGATGTTCCTGAGATCATTGGGTTTCCTTTGCTGGTTTTTTCCTCTTTTCTGAGAAGAAAGTTAAAACTACACAAAATGGGCCAACAGGTAAGGCTGGAGGATACTCTGAATGGGATTCCTTTTTTTTTTTTATGAATAGGAGTCTTGATGAGTCAAAAATAACATCTTTTGCATAGCAGGGCTGGTTAAATTTGAGTTTGTGAAAAGGCCTGTTATGATACATTTACATTCCAACTGTTTGATGATACCCGAGAATGAAACACACAGGAACGTGATGAGGAAACAGGCTTTCTGTCTATGGAACGTGGAACAGGATATGCTTCGACTTTTCCTCGTAGCAGGAGCTGACATTTGTGGAGTGCTCGCGTTGTGTCAGGTGTTATTCTGAGCAGTTCTCACGTATTATTATATAATCTTCAAAACCAGCCCCATGTTGTAGTTGAGGAATCGATGGCAGAGATTGATAAAGTAGTTTCATAAATTCATACAGCTGGTAAGCAGACCCAGGCCATCTGGCTCCAGGACCCCTGCTCCTAAGGGCCACACCCTCCTGGCTGTCACAGGGGCCTTCTCGCAATGCCAGCATGACAGGGACTTCTGTTGGGAATACGGAGCCTCACGTTGGTCTTTGGTTAGCAGTGGATATTGCTTGAACAGTTCCATAGTCATGTGGCTTCCTTTCCATTTTTACTGTGAGTGGATGTGGGGCAGGTGTCTTCCTCAGCAAATATTAATGGAGCATCTTCAGTGTAGAAAACCTTGAGGATGCGGCAGTGAACAGGACAGACAAAACCCCTCGTCTCAGAGCACTTACATTTTAGTGTGTGCAAGTGCAAGTGTGTGTACAGAGCACCTGACATACAGAGATGGCAAATGGGTTTCCATTCAGACACCAACTCTGGTCGATGGGCATTGACTGCAGGACCTGCTGCGTTTTGGTTCATTGAACAAACATTGAAATAGCCGGGCACTGTTCTGAGCACTTTAGAGTGTTAACGTCGATTCTCACAACAACCCTGTGAGGTAAGAAGGATTATTAACACCATCCCTGTTTTACAGATGAGGAAATTGAGGCATGAAGATGATAAGTAACTCGCCCCAAGGGAGCAATGCTAATAAGGGGCACAGCTGGAATTCCCACCTGGGGAGTCCGTCCCCTGAGTCTTTGCCACCATGCTAGGCTGCCTCTCCAAACAGACTGAGACACACTGTGAGGCCACAACCAGACTTGGAGCAAAGGAACATATGACTGACTAGGACTGACAGCTGGGTGTGGGCAGGAAAGTGGTGGCATGCATGGATTTCGAGAACCAAAACCCAGGTCTTAGTCCCATAACTGACACTAAGTAGGCGTATGACTGGGGTGGGGGCGGGGAATCATGAGTATCCTCATCTGAAAAACGTGCTATGGTGGAAAGGGAATTGCTGAATTGGATTTAGTCTAACGATCCAGCCTCGAGTTCTAGCTTTGCCATGGACGTGGTGTATGATTCTGGGCAGATCTCGTAAGTTCTCCAGACTTCATTTTCCTCATCTACAAAATGGGCATGACAGTCTCATACCCTACTCACAGGGTAAGTGTGAGGGTTAAGAGGATTAATACATGTGAAAGCCCCTCGAAAACTCTAAGTATTATGAGATAATAGTGTGATATTATGTTTAAGAGTAAAGACTGTAATGATTTTTCAAAAATTATATTGCAGAAGGGAAACAAAAAGCAGCTGATTTTGAAGACCTTCTTTCTGGTCAAGGTTTCAATGCACACAAAGACAAAAAGGGGCCTCGAACAATCGCTGAGATGAGAAAGGAAGAAATGGCTAAGGAAATGGATCCTGAGAAGTTAAAGGTGAGTGAGCCCCTGAGCTAGCTTGCTTTTCCGGTAGGACAAGGTCATCTGACAAGGTCGTGCGTGTGAGCCAGCAGCGTCCCTGGTTCCTGGCTTCCTCACGCCTCCCCTCCACTTTTAACCAGAGCAGTTCTACTTTCATTTGTTTTTGATTCTGGGAGCCTAGGTAAGATTTGATTTTGGGGAAAAAAGTCTTTCTCTATTTTTTTAAGTTAGTTTTTTTAAGTTTGCAAACCAGCTACTCCAACGGACCCTTACTTCATGGATGAGGACGTTGTGTGGACAGCTGGACCCCGGTTAGCTTAGAAGCGGAAGGGTGGCTATGCTGATGAAGTTTGAAAGGTCAAGAGACTTGGAATGCTCTCCACAGATGGGAAGGTTGAATTCCTGGGCAACAATTACCGAATATGCTGACACTGTCACAAACTGGAAGATAACTGGTAACCTGTTACCAGTTAAAGCATCTCCAGGACCAGGACCAGCACGGCCAGCCGATCTGACACACTTTGAAACAATGTCTTTCCAGACAGGTGGGAACACTGTTGAAGACAGAGCTCTTCTGAGTACAGTGAAGGGTCCTTTGCGTTTGCTTTTCACTTCATGTAATGGCATGGACGCTGTATATTCCTCTTCAAAACTTGGTGCTCCAACTTGATAACTTTTGTTTATGAGGCAAACTCACAGTTTTCTATAAAAGGAAGTCATTTATATCTTGGTCACCATGCTTGGTTATTTCGTTGGTACAGGGTATTTAATGGTTTGGGAGAGAGGCCATCATTAACGTTGACTCAACCATTCCTTCAGCACCAGAGAGGCACTTAGCTCCTGTTATGTGCTAAATGCTGATGGGCAGTTAGGAACCCTTCAACTGATTCACCTCATTTGTTCAAACTATGGAGATTCAAATGGTTGAATGAATAGTTTGAATGAATGACTATGTGGATCAATTCATTTAACATACTTTTTTGAGCTCTATTCTGTGCCAGGCAGGCTACTTGGTTCCTGAGATACTGTGATAGGTAAGAAACAGTACTTTCCTTGAGCAGCTCTGCCTAATGGCTGGGAAAGACAAATGCACAGACAGTTACCTTATCTTGGAGGTGAACAGTATGGAATTCCTGAGCAGGCTTTTGAAGGATGATGAAGAGGTCACCAGAAGGACAAGATAGGAGGTGGAGGTGGAGAAGCATTCCAGGAGAGGGAAAGCTTGGAGTATGCGGGGAGCCCCAAGTACTGTGAGGTTGCTGGGGCATCCCCCTGAAGACCTTCTGGACTCAAAAGCATTTCAATGTCTTAATTCTCCCTGCATTTACAGATTCTGGAATGGATTGAAGGCAAAGAGAGAAATATCAGAGCACTTCTCTCCACGATGCACACTGTGCTGTGGGCTGGGGAGACCAAGTGGAAGCCAGTCGGCATGGCGGACCTCGTCACGCCGGAGCAGGTGAAGAAAGTGTACAGGAAGGCGGTGCTGGTGGTGCACCCAGACAAAGTGAGTGCAGCCTGCTCTCGTGTCGCTTGTCTGCTCCTTGTTTCCTTCTTTGTGAGCATGTGTTAAAAACATCATACTTTCAATTCGCTGGTTATTAGGCCATTTATATGATAAAATAAAGTCCATGGGCTAAAATTGAGTATTTAAACAAGTAGTTATACTTTACAACGTGAGCGAAAAGAAATCAAAATATATATTACGAAGAACGGAATGGGGCTTTACTTGGCTGTAAGATTCACCACTGACTAATTTTTTGGGTCTCAAATATGAGTTTAGAAACACAGTCTATTGGAGAAAGGCTGTCAGGAACCTGTGTCCCTTGGTAGATACTTCTGGAGAATGGAGATGCACCTTTTGCTGCCCTACGCGCTCTCATTGACTTACTTGTTGGCTGATGACTACCACCGTATGAGAAATTCTAGAGAGAGGGTGTTCTGGGGAGGTTGTAGTGATTCGGCTCACACAGAGCAGGCTGTCAAAAGAGAAAAAGGCCTGATAGGAAAAAACTTCAATTACTTAGAGCCCACATATTCACAGTGAAAAATTTAACATGAATACAATTTTGGTGTGTGGTGTCTGATGTGTGTTTTGTTTTTTTCTGTAGGCTACTGGGCAACCCTATGAACAATATGCAAAGATGATTTTCATGGAGCTCAATGATGCCTGGTCTGAATTTGAAAATCAGGGCCAGAAGCCCTTGTATTAATTCCTGAGATTTTCCATTTCTGCTGCAGACCTGTGCTGACACTTAGTGTGTGTCACAATTCTGAGGTTTTCACAGATGAACCAAAAACTCCAGTAATATGTATCCAGTACTAAACTGTTAAATTACTCGTGAATTAATTCCTCGCTGATAAGGAGAGTGGATGTTTGTTTTCTCAAGTCAACACCATAAAAGGTCCAGCGCAGGAGAGGAACGTTTAGTCAGATGACCTTGCAGAGTTACAACATTCCAGCCTGCCCTTTGCGAGCCTACTCAGCATTTTGTGGGGAAATGGAAAATAGAGGCTACCGAAGGCTTGACCCCCATCTCGTTGGCTGAGAATAGGATTAATGAGCAAGGGTTATGATAATAGGATTACATGTTGGATTTTAACTAATGTGTTTTAGATTTTCTTGGAAAGATGTAACTTGAGCAATGGCTTTACGTAGACTACAGGAACACAACCATCAAGAGTTTTTTCAAATGGAAGTTGACCATGGTCTTTAGCATAATGCTGTACACTCTTGAGGTCAAGAGGACCCACAGATGTAAGAGAACTTGAATTATGCAAAGAATTATACTACAGTTCCAGTGGTTACCACCACCTCTTCCTGGATAAGGTAAAAATTAGCGAAAATGCTGATGAAAGAAAATAGGGACTCTGCGGATGTAGAAATCTTTAAACAGAAAGTTGGGCTGCTCCCTTCCTTTCCCTTTAGAAAGCTGTGGTTGTGTAAAGAAAAAGTCTTAACACTGTAACAACAACTCTAAACCTGATTTGAAAGAAACTTCTAATTTTGCCACAAGGCTTAAAGCTCTTCTTTGTGCTTAGCCAAGAAAATGTTCTGAGCTGGAAACAGGTGGTAAAGCAGATTGGCAGGACCTGTGTCTAGTGGTGACTCAGCGTCCTCTAGGTTTGTGAGTGGCAGTGGGAAGAGCATAGAAGGCCACGCTGAGAACTAAGCAGACGGGCAGGTGCAGTGGCAGAGCTGTGCTCGCCTTCAGACCCAGGAGTTGGCTTTGAGGAACCAGGTTCCCCTCCCCACTGGTGAAACTGGACCCCTTGGATTATTACAGTGGGGTTTCTTGTTTTAAAAGTAGTTGGGAGCCATAGGAACAACATTCACACAGGGACATCTGTGAAAGCAAAGCAAGAATGGAACCTTTGCAGACTTCAGACTGGTCGGGTTTCGGTTTGGTGTTTTGGCTATTTCTCGTTTTGAGGGGTAAGCAGTTGTGAGCCTGTAACTTTGATAGATCTCTTTTGGCGTGCACATGCACAGTGTGCATAGTACATATATGCAAAGCAGATGGGCAAAAAGATTTCCTTACTAATTCCAAAAGGTTCATGCTCAATGTTGTGAAAAGCTTTCAAAAATTGTTTTTGAAAAGACAATCATTTTTTGTTTCTGTTTTAAGTTTCTTGTGGCAAACTGTACTGGAAAAGCAGCATGTCAAAAATACTTTATGTTCTATATAGAACGCTCTTTCTTTTTTTTTTTTTTGGTTATATAGGTTCATTATTTATTTTACCTTTTACTGACAATGTGAAACTCGCAGAAAATGTTCTCCTTTTAAATATACAGCTGTAAACTGTTCAAGGTAACCATAACAAACTAGGTGTTATTTATTAACATATTATAAAATAATGTTTGATCCACTATGTGCTTGTCTTATTTAAAATTGGAATGTGAGACATGTTGCTGTGACTTGTTTTTTTCTCATTCACACTTGTAGATAGCGTGTGAGCTACAGTATATAATGATAATACTTAAAAGGATATTATGTGAATGTCACGTACATTTTGAAATGATAGAACTATATTAGCTTTGTATCATGTTTGGATAATTCATCAATGCTCACAGTTTAAAACATCATTAAACATTATGTAATTAGCAATGAGAAAGAATCTTACCTAACTTAAATTTGGGATTTCCCCCATCTCTTTTCCGGATACATTATAATTCTGGACCCCTGTTTATCTCAAAACTCTTAACATACGCAGACCAACAGGTTTCTGCATTCCTTTTAAATATCTGGTTGTGACAGCTTGTTGTTGATCAGATTCACTGTTTCATTCATATTTATTGTAATATATTTTTTGTTTTGTAAATATGTTACACACAACAAAATGTGATTGGTCTAAAATATTTGTAATGTATATTAAAAGGCTCAAAAATATTTGTAGACACCTAAGTTATTTTTGTACCTGTAGGAATATAATGACAAACTTGAATTACACCTTCCAATACGATTCACTTTTAAGAAAAATTATGGGGAAAGAATATGAAAAGCATATAGTACATTTGCCGCAAAAATAATCTGACAGGATTTCTGGATTTCTGCCCTGACCACCCTTGCCACGGCACACACACACTTCTGCTCATGCGACGTGAATACTGTGTCTCAAAAAGGATCAGCATAGAAATCCTGGTCTCCTAGCTAGACTGTCCATGGATTTCCAAAGCTGCATTTGTGTGCTGAGGCAAAGGAATCAATCCTGGGAGTCTGAGCCTTTGTCATAGAAAACGGATATTGTCGGTCTTTAAGGGCAGAAGGATTGTGTTCCTTTGGGAGTGCGTGCTGCAAGTTGAAAGCTTGAGAACTATTGCTGGACGGTCTCTGGAGGAACATTCCAGTCGGATCCCAGTGCTGCCGGAGAAACACCATCGTATAAGGAATGAACACAGAAGTGGCATTCCACAAACTCTTATCACAGCAATAGGACAGTGTGGAAACATCCATCGGGGAATTTAGGTCACGTCAACAGGCTTTGGTTGTTCTAAAGTTAAACCATGGTGTTTGGGTGTTGTGGTACAGCATTGGTTTGAGACCACAAGACTGGGTTTGAATCCCAGTTTTTCTATTTAAAGACTGTCACATTGGGCAAGTTTCTTAAACCCGTAAAATAGAATTCTAACAACCCTGCAATGGAGGAATTAGGGATTGTGTACCTAAATTGCCTTTCATTAAGTGGGTACTCACTAAATAGTAGTTATTGCTATTGTTACTGAGGCTAGGATTGCACTGACACCTCAGGGTGTGGGGAGTGGATGAGTTCGGCAGGAGAGGGTACCCAGTTGTCCTGCGTTTCTGCCTCCTCCGGCTGACGGAGGGCTGTGTGCATAAAATGGCAAAGATGTGTACTGTAGGTTCTGTGAAGGGAATGGCTGTGGGAGAAGAAGTGCTTGTTGAAGGTTTGGAAGGAAACTAACACTGACTGATTTCAGCAGTGTCGCATCGTCCTGGCATTAACCTCCGCATTGACTGGAGAGCCAGCCCCGTGCAGCTGTGCTCCACTGCGTCTGTCTGGCTAGGTGCTATTATATGTATTCATCTTCTCATTTAATTCTCAAAAAGTTCTGAGAGGCAGGTTTTGTAAATCCTGCCTTTGGAAATGGAAGCAGGCAGAGGTTTACCCAGAGCTGGGGTGTGAGGCTGGATCTTTTCTGTAGGATAGGCAGAGATGATACTCTATATGGTGACCTTTATTAATACTTGTTAATTCAACCAATATTTTGTGTATCTTGTATGCAAGATACTAATAGATGTGTCAGGGAAAATCAAATTAATGAATGGATTTGATTGCCCTGTTAAATCTAAGGGCCCTTATTTCTAATTTCTACGGCAGCTCCTGCTGGCTTGATGCATAAGATCTACTGTGGGGAACAGTACACTGACTGTCTGACTGCACAGTTGAAGTGTTTGGGGCTTGATCTCAGCTTCCCTATCCTTTAGTTACTATCTGAGCCTCAGTTTCCCCATCTGTAAAATGGAGATATAATACCTAGCTCATAGTGTGAGTGAGTTGAAAGCAAGGAGAGAATACAAAAATTTATCTGGAGCAGTCCAGTGTAGTCCTGGACAGCGTAACAGAGAACGCGATCCTACACATCCAAGTAACACATGGATGCCCAGTCGGGGATGGGGTTCAGCTTCTAAGCATTTACTTTCTGGTTTTGGTGACTCTTATTCTTGATGAAAGCGGAATGGATAATTAGAAGAACAATTTTTCAGGGCAACATCTGGCAAGAGGAAAGCAGATTTTCTCAAGAGATGGTTAAAGCCTTTGGCAAGATGACAAACTTTCAAGTGTTCAGTAAACTGGAAAGGATGGCTGGTACGGGCGGGAAACTTGTTGGAGAGCAATACTGTCTCTGCATTTGTCTGGGACACTAAGCTGGGGCAAACGCCCATCCTTTTGCTTCTCACCATCTTCCAGTTTCTTACTGCTAAGCCTAAGGCACTTGGACCAGCCGTGCCTCTGAAGTAATCCCACTTTTGTCCAAAGTCATTTCCTTTCTGTGGGACCGGCCTCAGGCAAACATGGAAGGCTTCAGCAAACCCTTATATGCGGCTTTCCAGACACTTCCTGGGTGTTGGGAATGGAAAGGGGAATGGGGAGGTTTGACCCTATAGAAAATCCTCATCAATTAAGGAGACGTCTTCCTCTTGAGAGCTGCTTGGACTACAGTAAGAGCTAAAAAGGACAGGCTTCCAGAGTTTGGCGGTAGACAGTCTCCCCTGAGGGCATTAACAGGAATTAGGAAGGACGCGATACTCACAACAGGGAAGGAGAAGTTCTCAACGACCTCGAGTTGGACTGCAGGCCAAAAGGCAAGAGTGCAGTGGCATTCTGGATCTCCAAGGGCCTGCAGAGAGCCAGGTATTAGCAAGACAAAGCTTTCAGTAAGTGTACCTTCCATCTAGGAGGAGAAATGGGAGGAGCTGGAAAAATAGACTAAACTCACAGGTGATTAGACATATGTTGAGATGATAATATGCTTGCTGTACAGTTTTGAAAAAGTAAACTGAGCGGGGATCCTGAAAGGTGGTGGGGAGAGAATTTGTACCTCTCAGGCGGCCAGGGGAACCTGGTCCCCTGCAGCCCCTTTATCTGTCAGTCCCTAGAAAACTAAGAAAAAGCAACAGAAAAGGGGCAGGCAGTACCTTAGCGTGGAGAGTTTCCCGGCTAGGAGGGGTAAGTGGCCCATAGCCCAACCTCCTCCAAAGAGCTGTGTGAAGCAGGCAAGCGACACCCACTAAGGCTCTTTCCGTTAAGGTCAAATGAAGCACTTGGACCAGATGATTTTTAAGATCTCTTTCCGATTGTCCCCACGAAGACAAAACTCCACATTCCCGTGAGGGAAGTAAGTACAAAATGGCCCTCTGAGGTCTAAATCGGCCCTGCTCACCTGCAGCCTTTGAGGACCCAAGGTATAAAAACAATAGCCTTGGGACGCGTGCTGCATGGCCTGCGGGTTAGCACCTGGCCCGCGGGCCCGGCAGCCGGGCTGAGCCGAGGTCCCAGCCGACCAGGTGAAGGGTGGGGCGTGGGGCAGGGTCGGGGATTAGCGGACGGCTGCCGACCTAAAACGAGGACTCAAGGGCCAGGTTACACAGAGAATGGGTTTGCAGGAGGGCTCAGGAGAGGACCGTGAGGCAGGGGCGGGGCACTGCGGGATGGAGGCGGGGTTATGAGGGAGCAGGGCGGGGCTCTGCGAGGTGGGGGGTGGGGTTAAAATGGGAAGGGGCGGGGTTATGCGAGGTGCGGCCGGATCAAAAAGGGCAGGGGCGGGGCTCTAGTAGATGGGGGCGGGCTCGAGAGGGCAGGCGAGAGGCTCTGAGTAGCTGGGTAAGTTGGGGGGGCGGAAACGGGACTCGTAGGGGCGGGGCTCAGCTTGGAAGTGCGGGAGAGCGGGGACCGGCGGGGCGGGGCTCTGAGTGGAGTGGGGAGGTGGCGGGGAGATGGGGGACCGGCGGGGGCGGGGCCCCGCGTAGACGAGGTGGGAAGATGGAGATCGGGAGGGGCGGGGCTCCGCTTGGAGGGCTTGGGGAGATGGGGACCGGCAGGGGCGGGGCCCCGCGTACAGGTGGTGGGGAGATGGGGATCGGCAGGACCGGGCTCTGCGTGGAAGCGGGAGATGTCGGGGAGATGGGGGACCAGCGGGGTCGGGGCTCTGCGTGGAGGGGAGAGATCGGGATGGCAGGGGCGGGCTCTGCTTAGAGGAGGGAGGTGTCGGGGAGATGGGGGGCCGGCAGGGGCGGGGCTCCGCCTGGAGGGGAGGACGGGCGGCAGGGGCGGGCTCTGCTTGGAGGAGGGAGGTGTCGGGGAGATGGGGGGCCGGCAGGGGCGGGGCTCCGCGTGGAGGGGAGGGACGGGGCGGCAGGGGCGGGCTCCGCGTGGAGGGGAGGGACGGGGCGGCAGGGGCGGGCTCTGCGGGGCGGGGGCGGCCGGCGGTGCTCCGAACTTGGGCGGGGCGGCCGGGCAGGAAGCCGGAAGCGCCGCGGCCCAGCTGGGAGATATGGCGGGCGTTAAAGGTACCTCCGCGGCCGACGCGCTGGGCTGCGGCGGGGTGGCCGCTCCGCTGGCCGCGCCTGGAGCTGCGCTTTCGGCGCGCGGGCGGGGTCGGGTCGCCGGACTCGCCGGGCTTCCGGCCTTCCGGGTGGGAGTGCGCCCGCCCGCTCCCTTCGCCCGGTGGGGTGCGGGTGGAGGGCGGCTGGGGGACCTCAGCCCCTTGTTTGCAAGGCCACTGGCCCTCACGCCCTCCCGGGCCCCTGCGGGCGGAGCCCTGGCCGGAGCGGGCCCCCGGGAGCCCCGGGCCAGCCGGGAGCATCACCTCCCGACGCCTCCTCGCTTCCTCGGCATCCCCTCCCCCCGCTGCCCGGTTCCTAACCAGGTTTCCACTTCCTGACGTGTCCACCCCGACGCCTCTCCTCCCTTTTCCTGCCGCGCCGCAGTTTCCATTTCTTCCCGGAGCCATTGTCTCCTTGTTCTCGCCGTGGGAGAACTTAGTCCTCTTGTTCTGAGGGTTTCCAGTTGGGCTGAGTGACTGCAGGCGGGCGTCCCGGCGGAAAGCACCCTGAAATGCTGCATTTCTCGCAATCGTGGAGAGTAGATTAGGTGGAATCTTAATGCTGCTTTCTTAAGTGTTTATTCCTCTCTGGACAGACGAAAAACTAGGGTTTGTGCAGTATGTATTTTGAATGGGGCAGTTCATAAAAAGGGTCCCAAGGACCCCGCTTCCCTTACCTGTGCGCCTTCAGAGGAACGGGGCATGGCCTTGGTAGGAGGTTATTAGAAAGCTTCCTGTTATTTTGTAGGAAACCATTAGATTTCTAATCTTTTGAGTAGAGTAGCATAACTTGTTTCTATGTTGGAGTTTCTGTCCTCTTTGAAATTTGTACCCAAAGATCTTCCCTCCCCAGGTAATCAACATCTGCTATAAACATGTATACAGTGTATTTGCACGCATGTGTATTCACTAGGAAATTCGTGAGCGTGTGAGCTGTTAGCAGCAGACACATTTTATCAGTATTTCTGGCTGACTTTTCTTCTTGACAGTTTAATAAACGTGGTTTACTTGGACAGTGTCCAGGGTGGAATATATTTATCTGAGGCCAGTGCAGAAAACAGATGAGGAGTGGTATCTCAGCCTGCACAGTGTCTGGTCATGCCCAGAAACTATCGGGTAACAGTACTGTATGTGTGTGAATGTGTTAGAAATTATAAGGTAGTAAGAGGGAAGATAGGCTAGGAAATGGAAAAGTCTAAGGGAAGGAAGCATTTTTCAGATAATTCAGTTCGACCTTTATTGAGAGACAACTGGATGTCTGAGACTTGGGATAAAGGGTAAATGAGAAGTTATTGTTGGATGACAAGAGCTGGAAATAATTATGTCACTGTTTGAGTGTCTGAGGTGTGCTCAGACACAATATTCTGGGTTGAATTGTGTCCCCCAAGTAGATATGTTCAAGTTCGAACATAGCTGTCAAGATGAGCTTATGGGAAATAGGGTCTTTGCAGATGTAATCAATTTAAGGTGATCAGAGTGGACCCTAACCCCGTGACTAGTGTCCTTATAGGAAGAGGGAAGCATGGCCGTGGAGACGCATAGGGAGGACACCATATGAAGACGAGGGCGGAAAGGGTGATGCAGCTAAAAGCCAAGGTGCACCAGCGGTTGCCAGCCACCACCAGGAGTCAGGAGAGGCAGGGGGTGGGAGGGTAGGGGGCTCTCCCCCGGAGTCTTTAGAAGGAGCACGGCCCTGCCGACATCTCCATTTTGGACTTCCAGCCTCCAGAACGGTGAGAGAATAAATTGCTGTTGGGTAAGCCTCGGAGTTTGTGGGACGTTGTTTGTAGCAGCCCTAGGTAACTAACACAGATGAGGTTACTTAATCCTGCTCCAGCAGGAAGAGGACCGTTTTCACCGAAGAGGACCTTCGGCTGAATCGAAAAGGACCACTAAGGCTTCACATGGCGAAGGTTGGGGCCAGGGCAGAGTTTATTCCAAGTGGAGAAAACCACGTGTGACATAGGGCAGGGGCGTGAAGGAGCACCCTTTGCTCTCTCCAGGAGCTTAAGCTCTGTTGGTAAGGCCGGGGCATAGTGGGAGAGGGGTGAGGGTTGAAGCTGGAAGGCAGTCAGGAGTCAGACCATGGTGCCAGAACGACTCATGGGCTGTGAAAGCAGCTGCGAAGGGGTGATGCCAGCTTTATGTGTCTGAGAGAGCGCTGTCTGCGGTGTGGAGGGTGCATTGGAAGAGTCACCATTGGAGGCCGGCATGGGATGCTAAGGGACTGCTGTAGGGCAGTAGCAGAGGGATGCAGAGAAGAGGGTGGGTGTCTGAGTCCTTTAGGGCTCTGTAAACTGGGGGGCTCATACAACCATTTAGTTCTCAGTTCTGGAGGTTGGGAAGTCCAAGATCAAGGTGCCAGCAGGTTCGATGCCTGGTGAGGGCTGCTTCCTGTTTCAGGAATGGCCTTCCTCTTGCTGTGTCCTCACCTGATGGAAGGGGTGAGACAGCTCTCTGGGGCCGTTTATATAAGAGCACTAATCCCGTTTAGCAGGGCTCTGCCCTCGAAACCTAATCACCTCCTAATACCGTGACACTGTTGATTAGGATTTAAATGAATTTTGGGGGGACACAAGCTTTTAGTGTGAGAAATTGCATTTAAAGAGATTCAGCTTCTACCCAGAGAAAAATAACCAGGCGATGGCAGAGTTAAGATTTGAACCCGTGTTGGTGACTCAGAGCTCAAGATTTCTTAACAACGCTAACATTCTTTGTCTCCCACGCAGCAGCGTGATGAGCACAGATATGTTCCTTCCCCCTTGGAGATTAGTGTCCCACAGATGCCGGGAACAAACCTTTTATTCAGTGGATCCTGGTTGGGAATCATTTTCTGTGAAGACAGAAAGCAGTCTTCAAATTGTGAAGGCCTGAGGTTTGGGGAGGCAAGACAGCCCAGAGAGTGTCCAGGCCAATGAGCCGGTTTTGTATGTGATTTAAGGAAGGAGAGTTTTCAGCATTTAGAAACTGCCTCGGGCACGAGGGAGTGTCCCTTCACTGGAGTTGTGCAAACTGGCTGGCTGGCCTCTTGTGACAAATATGAGGGGAATTCATGAGAAGATGGGGGTTGGGGACTGGAAATGCTGGAGATCTTTCTCTACCTAATGACTTAAAAGCAGTGGACATAGGCAGCAATTTGCTAGTCAAATGTAATATCAGCTCATGAAATGAGTAAATTGCTACCTTTGCTTAAATCTGGGACCTTTTGTTCTTTTATTTTTATTTATTTATTTTTTTTTTTGAGGAAGATTGGCCCTGGGCTAATATCTGCTGCCAATCCTCCTGTTTTTGCTAGGAAGATTGGCCTGGAGCTAACATCTGTGCCCACCTTCCTCTATTTTATATGTGGGATGCTGCCACAGCATGGCTTGGTAAGCGGTGTGTAGGTCTGAGCCTGGGGTCTGAACCAGTGAACCCTGGGCCGCCGAAGAGGAGCACGTGAACTTAACCACTATGCCACTGGACCAGCCGCCTATTCTTTTTTCAATCAAAATTTTTTTTATTGAGGTATAATTCACAAACCGTAAAATTCACCTTTTAAAGTGTAAAATTCCATAGTTTTTGTTATATTCACAAGGTTGTGCAACCATCACTACTATCTAATTCCAGAACATTTCATCACCCCCAAAAGAAACTCTATACCCATTAGGAGTCACTCCCCATTCCTCCCCTCCCACCCCAGCCCCTGGCAACCCCTGATTTGGCCCTGTAACTCCTGGTTTTATTTTTCACAGCTCTTGTGGCATTATCTTTCAGTGGGGCTATTGGACTGACTTTTCTTATGCTGGGATGTGCCCTAGAGGATTATGGGTAAGTTGTCACTTCAACCAGAACTATTCTTCTTTTTGTGTCTTTGTCATTATTGGTATGGGTGTTCGAGAGTTTGGTCAGTTTGGCACCAAGCTCTAACCAATGAGTTAATGAAGCCCAAATTATGAACCCAGTCCTTTTGTGGACCAGTTGTATATGTGCAGAGAACAGCTCTTTTTAAAATTGATATGTTCATTCAATAAGCATTTATTGAGCACCTGCTCTGCACCAGCTAGGGGTACAAGCATGAAGAGACACGGTCCTGCCCTCAAGCAGCTTACAGTTCTAGTTGTGAGTGAGAGGCAGGCAGACAGCCCAGTCAGTAAGCTGACGGCTGTGGTGGAGATGTGTGCAGGCGACAGTGAGGGCTCCAAGAAAGCGTGTCTGTGTTTCCCTGTGAGAGTCAGGGAGGGCTGCCTGGAAGAGGTCTTTACGCTGAGACTGTGGATAACTAAGAGTTTATCGGGCTGAGGAGTCAGGGAGGGCGTTCCAGGCCAAGGGAACATTCAACAGATTTCTTTATTCCACAGCTGTTGGTTGAGTGCTTACCAAGCGCCAGACACTGTTCTGGGAAGGAGGGATTAAGAAATAAGAAAACAAAGGTCCTGCTCTCCCAGAGTCTAGATTTCAGTGAGGGAGACAGACAATAAACAGGCTAAACATGTACATTCTATCATAGGTACAAGCATTGCGAAGAATAAAGGGCTCAGAGGCCTTTATTATTTGGTCTCGGGGCGACAGTGGTCAGGGAAGGCATCTCTAGAGCGTGATGTGAGCGGAAACATGAAGAAGATAAGGAAGCAGGTCATAGGTCATGCAGATTTCCCGGCAAAGAGGATGTCAGGCAGCGGGAAGGCCGTCCGCTGAGGCCCAGAGGCAGGAAGCCACGTGTGGATCGTTATGGTAGCTGGGACGGGTGACAGAGGGGTCGGTCAGGGATGTCGAGTCGGTCCTTGGGGCTCTGTATGCCATGAGAGGGGGCTGGATTTTATATGTCAGGCAACAGGAGCTGGGAAGGTATCTTGAAAACAGGGGTGGAGGGTGGGGGGTTTATGTTAAAAAAAGGTCAATCTGGCCAAAATGTGAGACTGGATAGGAAGGTGCTGAGACTGCAGTCGGGGAGCCTGGAAGGGACCCTGCGGTAAGTCAGGCAGAGCCAGGGCTGTGGCAGGAGGAACCGGAAGGACGGCAGGAAGGGTGGAGAGAGAGCCGGGTGGCAGAACCCACAGGTTTTGCTCATTGACGTCACGGTGCAGCGAGGGGGGAGGGGTCCTGGATGTCACCCAGGTGACTTGCTTGAGCGGCCGGAGAGAAGATGTGACCCAGAAAGCCTGTAGACCCCGTACAGGAAAAGTTTACCCACCCCTGGCCTACCAGTTTACTGAATCATATATAGTTAATGTTTAAATTTTGTTTATAAACAAGGTTGCTTCTCCATTAACAGGGCTGTCAGTTAAATATTGATGGTTTACTGTGAATGGCAACATAGTTTCGTAGGTTGTTTTTCAGAAAACTGTTACTGTATTTTAGGAAGAATTGAGAGCTCTTGGCTGTAGGCATGCCAGGTGACAGCTGGGTCCATTCCAGGCCTCTTCTCGCTGTGTCTCAGTTTCCTCACTAGTGTAATAAGGGCTGTGAACTAGAGAATCCGTAAAAGCCCCTTCCACCAATAGCGTTTGGTGGTTCTTGAAACACTATAATCCGTCTGCCTAAAATTTGAAGTTCAAACTCCGTGTTCCGGTCCTGAGTCCTCTTGATGAAGCAGGGACACTTTCCCTTGTTGCTTTTGGTTACCGTCCGCCCCGCCCAGATCTGTGGCTGAAATGGGAAGCTCTCGTTGCAGTGCGTTTCACCCCAGCTCCTGCCCGGAGCTGCTGGCTCTGCATGGACCACAACATCATGGTGTAGTGATGATGTGGATTGTTGTGGTGGTTATATATAAAAATGAGGAGAGACTTTGCTTTTTTTTCCCTCATGGGATGAAGCATAATAAATGTCTAACTGATGGAGAAAAATATTTTTGAAGTATTTATAGAGCAAATGTAATTAGAAAGCAGATGGCAATTTTTAATATATGGAAAACATTGGAACTTTGAGAAGAAAATCACTTTTTTGCATTACAGTATTATTGTGATCTCTTATAAAGATTAGAGTGTTTCTAAAGTTTTTACTAATAAGTGTATTTCTTTTCATGCCTGTCAAACTTAAAATCCATTTATTTTCTTGTTCATTGAGTAAATGTTAACGGAGGACCTCATTCTGGGTCCTGGAGATAAATGGCGATTGATCAAGATGGATCAGACCCCTGTTCTTGTAAACAAAATGTCAAATGGGTGTAAGTGCTGTGCAGAAAGTTAAGAGGCTGATGGCCCAGGGGTGACTGGAGGTGTTTCAAATGCATGGTGAGGGGAGCCACTTTAGGAGGAGAGCTCTGCGTGTGGATTGCGTGATAAGAAGCAGCCGGCCAACTAGAAGGTCAGGGAGGAGCGTTCCAAGCAGAGAATGCGCTAGTGCAAAGGCCCTCAGGCAGGGATGGGCTCAGAGTGTTTAAGGAACAGAAAGAAGGCCCTTGTGGCTGCAGGTGAAGCGAAGGAAGGGAAGATGGCACAAAATAAACGGAAGAGGTTGACCTCATGTAAGACTTTGTAGGCCAGGCCAAGGATCCGAGTTTTATTCTAAGCCATTGAAAGGTTTCCAGTGTGCAGACACTCCCAAGGTCTTTATGGAATTAGGATAGGCAAGGCACCTGCTTTGTTTTATACAGAAAGCAAGCAAAGATGACTAAGTTAAGATTCTGTCCTTTAAGGAATTACAGCTCAGTAATAACAGAAAACAATAAAGATTCTTGATTATACATTGTGTAGTTGTTTCTTGACACAGTATAAGCTATCTACATATTAGCAATTTTTAATTATCGTTGTTACTTCTTATCTGTTGCTGGTAGAAATCATCTTATCTACTAATATTCACAATTGAATAAGTTTTGTCGTAGACTTTTAAAATAATACTTAAACTTTGAAACAGTGGTACGTCTTTAAAATGTAACTGGAGCTTTCCTTTTGGGGTCTCTTCTGGGTCCGCTGACAGCGTTTACTGGCCGTTGTTCGTCCTGATCTTTTACGTCATCTCTCCCATCCCCCACTTCATCGCCAAAAGAGCAACGGATGACTCCGATGCAGCCAGCAGTGCCTGTCGAGAACTGGCGTACTTCTTCACGACTGGGATTGTCGTCTCTGCCTTCGGACTGCCTATCATTCTTGCTCGTGTGGCTGTGGTAAGTTTTGTTTTGCCCCGTTGTCGCTGAGTCTACTTCAAAGGCCTGTGTCAGGAACCTTGGTTTCATTCCCATTGCTTGGACGTAATACTGAAAGCCAGACGTAGTTTTAGTTTCTCTAATCCTCCATTTTGGGTCCACCTGTCAGTATCTTGACCTTGTTTTCAGAATGCTTTCTTTGTTTCTCTTACGACTTTTAGCCAGACCAAGTGATTTCTTGTTTTTTCTTCTTTAAGCTATCTGGAATTGTTCTTAAAGCCTTGCCTCTTATCTTAGGGCAATCCACAGAGACAATGATAGCAATACTTTTGTAAATGAGCATCATATTGAATTCTCCTGCAAGTAGGATCATGGACACCATCCTCAATACAAAAGGCTTAAATTGAGGGACACCTATGTAGCTCCTAGAAGATATAGGGAATAAGGTGACATCTTCACATCCAATATAAAAGTTTTTTGTGTCTCCAAAACACACGTTGCGGGTATAATTCATTCAATTCTTTGATGTTCACTCTCTTTCATACTATTTGCTTTTATTCCCAACTGCATACTGTTTCAATTTCATGAAACTCTTACTTGTGGCTTTGAATATCGGATATACACAAGTGTTATTTATTCATTCAGTAAATATCTTTGGAACATCTGCTATTTGTAAGACACTCGGAATAAGAGCCAGATACTACCTCTGTTCCCATAGAGCACAGAAACTAGCTTGCTGGGTAAGTATACGATAAATATATTATGATAATTGAAATATGATCAGAATACCATAGGAACACCAAGAAGAGAGAAATTCCGCCTGCCATTCGATGTGGGTCTCTAGGGATAAATACGGCTTTGCATAAAGTAGGGAAGGCTATTATATGGAATGGCACCCAAGTGGGAAAATGCAACATGTGGAACAAAGAACAATATGATTGAGCAGAAAGGAGTGGGTGAGATGAGGCTAGGAAGGGGAGGGGTCTTGCTGTGACGGATGGAGTTCTGTCTAGATGATGGAGAAGCCCTGAAGGTTTTTGAATGCAAGAGTGTCATGACCTTATTCTTCTTGTGCCTTATACTACTTCAGTTTTCCTGTAAAGATTTCTGTTTCTACCTTTCCATCCTGTATCACGTTTTATGAAGAAACTCATTGATGTTTTCTACTGGTAAAATTAAAACAAAAAATGCCCACTAGAGGGTACTGTCACCCCCCGGCAGAGCCTCTGTAAAACCATCTGCCAAGCTGGAGAGCCGCTTTCATTTACGTGCAGATTTTATTATTTAGGGTCTTTTCTTGCCTAGAAAAGAAACAGGCCAACTCATTGTTCTCCAATTCCTATTTTCATGGAAGAAGGCAATGCATGCAGAACTTTGGGCACCCCATATTGTAATTGGTCTGTTCATAATCTTGCTACGTGTGTTTTACTTAAGGCAATCGTTCACTGTTGAAAACAAGTAGAGAAATATATCTAATGGGGAAGATGTTAAGGATGATGCTAGACTTAATTAACAAGCGTCACGAAGTAATTAGACTAATTACTGAATAGCTCACTGCCTCCCGCCTGTTACATCATTAAGCCTTTTAGCAGTTTTATGTAATATTTCATTGGATGTTTCTAATGCAGAAAATAAGAGAGATTTGCAAAGAGTACAATATGAAGAAAGTAAAGATTTAATCCTCTTTTCTTGTGTTTCAGATCAAATGGGGAGCCTGTGGCCTCGTGCTGGCAGGCAATGCCGTCATTTTCCTTACGATTCTAGGTTTTTTCCTTGTGTTTGGAAGAGGAGATGATTTTAGCTGGGAGCAGTGGTAGCACTTTATTCTGATAAAATGCATTTAATTTCTTAGAATTCATACTATGTGTATATGTGTGCACATGTGGCCTTTTACTATGAAATTTACTATGCTGGTTTTTTTATACCTTTATATCATGTTCACTTTAAGGAAGACTACATGAGAAAAAGAGTAATTTTATTGTCAGTCTGCAAATAGACGTCTCCATGTACTCACGTTGAATTATGTTATTTGTTTGGCTGTTCGTATGGTCATGGTGCTCTCAGAAAATACATTAACACAGTCTCGTAGCCAGCGTCTCACTTCTACAAGGCACCTGCACCTCTTGCCTGGCCCTGGGCTTGGGAGGCAGATAACGCAGGAGCAGCTCTCCGTTTGCACAGGACTTCCAAGATTTACTCGTGGCCCAGAGAGACAGGTGGCTCCCGCTTTGTGCTGTAGAGTCTTGCTGGCCCACAGACCAAGAGCAAGAGCATCCGCATCTCCTAGGAGCTTATTAGAAATGCAGAATCTGAGGACCCACCCTGGACCCAGTGCATTTTGATGAGATCTCAGGTGAATTGTATGCACATTGAAGTCTGAGAAGCGCTCTAGAGGGATCGGCTTCACACCCAGCTTCCTTGTCTTCCGCTTGGCTGAACCGCTTAACCTCTCTGAGCGTTAGCCGCTCCTTTGTTCACCTGCCCTCATGGTGAGGCCTAGTTCAGACTCTCTTTGGTGAAATGTCCAAACCCATAATATATAGGCTGTGCCACAAATTTGTGACATGTCCTCAGTAGGGAATAACTATGCCTTCATACTGTCTGAAAGGCAGTGGCTGTTTTCTCAGTGCTGGGGGACAGACTAACCCCAGCATAACCCACTGCGAGGCAGGGAGGGGAGACCAGGCTGAAACCAGTCCGGGTTAGCAGGATGAGGAAGACTAGATGGGTAACACTGTTTACTTCCCCTTTATGTTCTGACCCTTCTCTCCAGCTCCTTGCCTGTGCTGCCCGCCCCCCCACTTGCCCCCACCCCCAGTTCTGATCGGCCCTCGCTTCGAGGTGGCTCTGGCTGCTGCTTTCTGTAGACACATAGGAGCTGAGTGAGCAAAACAACGAATGAGCTGCTTCATTTTATTTACGTGTTGAAGGACTTACTGTCTTTCATGTCCTGTAGGACTTTATATATATATAACACTTTATGCCACTTTTAAATGATTCTTTGGGACTACATGTCATGCTGGATCCTGTAATCACAGTTTTTATAGCTCAGTGTTTTGTCCAAGACCTTTCAAAAAAGGGAAATAGGGGAAATAGAACCACTTGATCAGAATATAAACAATAATTTTAAAGCATTGTTAATGTGTAATAGTTGACATACGTTCAAAACACTGAAACCTTGAATTTTGTAATCTGAGTAATTCGAACCTCTTCAGATTCTGGAATGATGCCGGGACCTGGAGAAGATAAAAGCGATACCTAAAAGGATAATGTGCAAAGTGATATTTTGGCCTTGTGCATGATTTTTTGTTTTCAGTGTTCTAAGTACATGTAGAATTGTTGAAGTTATCACCACCAATGTTTATATAGAAAAATTAGTAGACACTAGAATTTTAACCAGCATTTTTAATAACACTTGCACTTACTGTATTGTAATAAATTTCACTTTTAACGCAAAAGAAAAGTTTAATTTGAAAAGTCTTTATTCTGATGTAGGCTTGCTTTAAAATAACAAAAAAGTGAGAATTTCTTGGTGTTCCGAAATGGACAGTTTTGAGCAGTAATCTTTCCTGCAATAGAATGATAGCAATAAGTTTTAAGATACCATTTTGAATGTCTAGTTGACTTGCAATGGCTTTTATTTTCCTGAGATGGAAATAGTGTTTAGTTTATACTGTCTTTTGCAAAAGTGTCTTTGTTGCTTATACACATTTCGAATAACCAAGGTAGCCTTAATATGTGGCCTTAAAGCATTGCCTCTTGGTTGTGTTTCCAGAATGATATGAAGTACTTGCATACAGGATTTTTGTAGCTATGCCCTAATAACAGAATGGATTATTGAAGCGATCACTTATTAGGTTTGCTGTGTGTCTGAAAAGAGACGTTTCTGCTGCAGCACATGAGTCTCGTTTAAGGAGTAAACGTGCACAGGAAGTAGTGCTGTATATGGATGTGCAAAAGTTTCATCCTGGTGACACAAAGTTGGGCATTTTTTTCTCCTTATAAAAGGTTCATTTTTTCTTTATACCCTAGAATATATTTTGAAGATTCCACGCACATTGATTACATTCTAAAGCTGAGAGCACCCATCAAGAATTGCCCACAGTAAGCGTCTTAAGAAGGGATCTCTGTCCCGGTCCAAACAGCTGGCTCGCAGGCGGACTGTGAGACGCCTTCCCCACAGACTCAGTGTTACGATTGGTGGTTGAGTTCCCAGGCCAAGCAGCTGAGGCAGCTACACCCTACTGTGGCCGGCCTGTCACCCTCAAGGCACCGGCCTGAGTTTTGGGTCTTGGAAAAAGAAGTGTGACCAGTTTGGAGGAAGGGAAGTGTACATTTCCACCTCTTTTCCTGAGAACAAGATCTTTCTTCCTTCATTTTGCAGGCTTTTCCATCTCCTCATGCCCTGGGGGCGTCCAGACTCCTGTGAGGTTTGCTGGCCTCTCCTGACTCGGGGCCTTCCCCGTAGCTCATCCCACCTCCTGAGGGTCTTCAGATTCCAAAGTCACCCACCTTTCTACTCCTACCAATAGTTTTCTTAGGGGAGCTGATACCACGTGGTGTTAATGGGAAAGCAATCTGATCAAACTCCTTTCCAGAAAGAGCGAGTGGCCTCTGAGCCTCTTCCCCACACCTGAACCCCCGTCCGTGCCTGAACCCCCATCCGTGCCTGCACCCCCATCCGTGCCTGCATCCTGTGCTTGCTACACGCAGTTTTACAAGAAAGTCTCGTGACCCAATGACTCAGTCACGGAAAATGGCAGTGTCTCAAAGTAAAGTCAAAAAAGTATTCCAGCAGCTTATAGAAGGATAATCATCCTTTGGGACAGGGGCAAACTTGTCACCTCTCATCATTTCCTCAGGGTGACTTCTCAGCGGGTCCTACTTTTCATAGCTGTTTGTTTTCCTCCGCTTAACCCACAGGTTTTCTTACGGTCCTCAAGAGACCCTTACATCTGAGGTATCCTCCTGATGAAGACTCTTCTAAAGGCTGAAATGTTTCATTAAGTTCATAACATTCCTTATGCTCTCAGGGAACTGCTTAGATAACACAAAAGTGTGCCTTTTCAAAGTTTGCAAAATTGAGGTTCTGCACCATAATTTAAGCAAAATATTTCTGAGGATGCTAGCATTTTTCAAGCATAATAGTTCACAACTGGGAAAAATTATTTTTGTAGATGAATATAAGCTGTGCATTTTAATTTTCTTTTCCATTCTGCTTCATGAAGTACCTTATTTTCAAAAATCCCGGTGCATTATAGCTCGTGAGTTATAGCCTGCTTGTCAGTGGCCGAGCTCCTGGAGGAGAGCGGCGATCCGTGTGGCCCCAAACGTGATGTGCAAGGCCCCCGAGGTGGCGTTAGAACACATCATATGTGTAGGATCAGGATGATTACTTCTTAAATAAAACTTGTCATTTATACTTTAACAAGGACTTCTATTACATTATTAAACTAGAACGTTCATATTTTACTTGGGGATGCAGTATATTTGGAAAAGGGATCAACAGATTTATTTTCCCCCGTCTTTGTTTGGATCATCTTAATGTGAATTTGACTGTTTTTGAGCCCACACTTATTGTAGTTGAGAAGCAGTCCAGGAACGTGTGTGAGTAGAAGGAATCCGGTCCCTAGTTACAGCTTTGCTAAGGCTGACGCTCCTGGGGGTGGGGGTGGAGGTGGGTGTGGGGCATGGTTAATCAAGAAGTGGAAAAGGGAGAAGGAAGTGACACTAAAAAAAGTGCCATACGTATTCTGAAGAGTCTGTCTGTGCCCTACAGAAAAGAATGCACTGACGTAAAATACTACTTAAGAGACAATGTGTCCTCCTTATGCACGAAACATTTGGGGACGATCTGGTGTCTTACAGATGCATTTAGGCAGCTAGATTATAAAGAAATGGAGCTAATAATTTCTTTGTGTTGCCCAACTAAGTGTAAAGTTAAATTTTTAATAGAAATTTGATGATACCAACATAACTGTACAATGCCCGTAAGAAAAAACAGTTCCCAAGGAAACGTCTCTGGTCCATGCATTTTCATTTAGAAAGCATGCTGGATGCATCGACTCCTCATCTGGGGCTGAGAAGGGGTGTGTCTGGAGAAATCATGTACCTGATATTTAAATATAGCATCTCTTGAGATTTAAAAAAAAATACCTATTTGTTTTTTTTTGTTTTCTTTCTGTTTTTTTTTTTTTTTTTGTCAGCTAAATGTGAATAAAAAGTTCTTGTGCAGTAATTGTCATTGGGAAGTTATTTTCTTCTTTCTGCTTCCTAACGTGGCTCTGAAAACTTTCCATTTAAGTTGTCAGTCAAGTTTCATCTTCTTTTTCTTTGTTTTTGCAGAAGTAGAAAACCAATGCCTGTTTAAAGAAAAAAAGAACTAAAGTTGGTGAAGAATTTAAATTTCAAGCTTTTCCCACATTTTTGAGAAGTGTAACTTTGTAGAAAATAAATTTCACATTCCTTTAATTTCTCTGTAGTCACCAGGCATAGTGCAAAATTAATAGATGAACATTTTGAGACAATTATTTGTCTTCAATACTGAGCACATAGGTGAAGTGGTCTTAAGATTTTCATGTGGAGGAGAACACACTTGGACATTTTGCACAGTGTCTCTTCACTGTTGATTATCTCTGTATCAAAATTGGATAGTTATAGCTGTTTCACACATTTCTAAATTAACAATTAGATATCCTTAAAATCAAAAGTTGTGCATTCATTTCTTTTGTTCTTAGAATAATTCAAAAATAAAACCATCAGTTTGGCCTCAGCTGGGTAATTATTTCCCTTTATGTAAAGGATAAATGCACCTGTGCTGCTGCCTTCGCACTTTCACATCCTCTGTCGTTGAGAAAGGATTTTTACCAGCATATTTTGTAAATTGTCATGTTTCTTACAGCCCTCTCACCAAAACTATGCTTGTTCCCTGACAAATCCAGAATTCTCCAGCACTTCTAGCCATTACTGCTGCAGCTCGCCATTTGTGGTTCCGACGATGCTCTTGCTAAAATCCACTTACTGCTGATGGAAGTGAGTCAAATGAACTCTAAACACAGGCGGGTTTTTTTTGTTGTTTGTTTGTTTTGTTATTGAGGAAGATTGACCCTGAGCGAACATCTGTTGTCAATCCTCTTCTTTTTTCTTGAGGAAGATTGTCACTGAGCTAATGTCTGTGCCAGTCTTTGTCTATTTTGTATGTGGGATGCTGCCACAGCATGGTTTGATGAGCAGTGTATAGGTCTGAACCCACAGACCCTGGGCTGCTGAAGCAGAGTGTGCCAACTTAACCACTATGCAACTGGGCCAGCCCCTAAACACTGGTTTTAATCTGATGCTTGATTTGTTCAAGATGCCACATTTAGTATTTGCTGTGAGTTTCACAGCGGTACCTAAGCCAATGCTCGACAGCCCGAGTGCCAGTGGGTGTGCTGTAGACACCTCTGTCATCTACTCAGTTTGCCTGTGCATGTGTTTCCTGTTAGGGAGGCTTCTGTCACCCTGAGACCATCTAGCCAGAGGCTCTGAAACAGAGGGTCCCTACCAAACTCTGGCACCAACATTTATGTTCTCTTTTCCTCTAGCTTATCATTAAGGAGAAATTGAAAGTTGTGAGGCGGAAACATAGGCCACTTGAAAATGGGTCTTTTTTTACCTAAACATCAGTGAGAGATGAATGCAAGGTGTCGTGTAAAACAGAGTCATGAGGGCTAATTAATGGCATGAGTAGTTACAGGATTAATGCACATTCCACAAATTTGATTTAAAGTTTAGTTAGTAGAAAATTATATTGACCATCCATTAAGGAGTAAAGTTTTCACTTATGCAACGAAAACCTTTCCAGCTCTGTATCCACACTCAGCGGCTTGGTGGTCTCATGGTGTCATGGCTCCAAATAGCGTAGGCAGCCGGCTCACACACTTCATCTCCAGCCCAGGCTTCTCAACCCCAGACTGCGGGTCTGACTGCCAGCAGCACATTGCCACCCACATCCCGCAGGCCTCTCCAGCTCAGTGTGTCTCGAGTCAGATTCCCACACTCCCTATCGTGCCATTTCTTAGGATAAGACTCGGAGTGTTTCAGACCTCCTTATTGCACATCCACATGCAGTCCATCAGGAAGTCTTGTTGCCTCTCCCTTCAAGATGCATCCAGAATCAAAACACACCTCTTACCTCACTGCCACCGCTGTGGTTCAAGACTGTTGGGTCTCACTGGGTGATCCCACGTGCCTTCTGACCCAGCTCCCTGCTTTTGCCCTTGTCCCCTTCAGGCTAGTCTCCACTCAGCAGTCAGAATGGGCATGTGAGGTGTAAACCAGATCGTGTCGCTCCTGTGCTCCAGTGGCTTCCCATCTCACTTCACTAATAAAGAGAGAGCCTAGTTAAAAAGCGGACAAAGGCTCTGATGAAGTGTATTTCCAAAGATGTACATGTGGCCAATAAGCACATGAAAAGATGCTCAA